CAGCTAACTGGAAATTTGGAGACAGACATGTTGCTGCTGGGAGGAACAGGATTTGAATCTTGAGTTACTTGGGGCAGAAGCCACCCAATGCCATTTAAGTCAGTAAGTCCCCCTTGGCTAACTCCTTTCTCTGCCTTGGTAATGGTAACTTGCATTTAGTTGGGAGAACTGCTAGAAAGTTATTTCTGGGTAACAGTGTGAAAGGAAGACCAAATTCGCGTAGAGAGCAAACACTAAATACAAGGTCTGCAGAAGAATTTGAAGGCCTGGGTGCACAGAGGATAATCATAGCAACAACAAACTCCAAACCCAGCCCTCCTCCTGATACAAACCTCATGCTATAGGCCCAGCAGAAGGGCAAATGGTGCTCATCTCTGTGTATAAAAAGTATTTATCTCAGTATCGATTGTGCTATACTCCAGTATGTTCTTCAACAAAATACTATGAGACATAAAAAGGCAATAAGAACAGTCTGGAAAAATGATCATCAGAACCAAACTCTGGATGTGAAACAGATTATCAGACATAATTATTGAACAAATAAGACCTTTCATAAACTGTGGCTTAAAAAAACCTCATTTTTTTGGACAAAGGTTTAAATGTATAGAATCATTATTGGAATATCAGGCACCTAAAAAGTGGTGAATAAACCAAAAGAGTTTTGATGTTTATAATCTGTTTTTTGTGGCTCTTCTCCTGCTCTCCAAGTATCCTGATGTTCTTCTCTCCATTTCTACTCCTATGAAAGGCTACTTGTTAAAAATGATTGGAATCTTACACTGTGACATGCTTGATCATATATATGATTTCAAAGGGAGAAACTTCTAATGGTGGAACTTGGTATCAAGTTTATCAGCAGAGGCTGGTGGGAGGTGAGAGGGGAGTCTGTGGGTTAACAGTCAGGGAAGCTCTATGGTGCTCCTGAAGTTGTTACCAAACAGACCCAGTTTTAATAGTTTTAATTTGGTGAGTATGCTTCCATTATAGGTTAAAAAGTTGCCATAGTGTCTACATTTGTGCAGTTTTTCTCAAGATGCATGTGAACAATATATTATTACCAAAAGGACCCCCTCTTTTTTCTCCAGGGGTCCCCCCATATTAGGTTCACTCTGCCTACCATCAGAAGAAAGACATCTCTCAATGCCAGAGATTGGTAAAAAGGAAACAAATTATTGGAGTAATGACTTAATGTCTTCATTAAATTACTAAAGTCCTTTAGAATACCCACAAACACACACAGTCTTTTCTTCTCCCCTTTGCCCAGTCTGCGGTACCATATCTCAGGACAAGAAGTAGAAGTCCATGATTCAGGCTCCTGACACCATCAGCCGTGTCGCTGCCATGATCTCCAGTGAGTCCAAAGCCATGTGGCACCTTCTCATGGCCCACCAGCAAGGGTCCTTTCACCCCTTCCAAGCCAAGTCTCGCCTGCTGCCTAAGCCACGTGGCAAAAGGGAGCACATCAGAGCCACGTGGTGATATTCGTCGGCTGCCTCATCTGGGTCTAAATCCCTGCGCCAATCTTCCTCTGCAGCCCCATTTCCGACTCCTCCCACAATCAGTTATACCTGCCAGCATTCCTGTATCCTTCCAGCTTCACTGGGTTGCTGTAACAAGTCCCAGCAGGCGTGGCCCCATGGCGTGGAGCCAATCATCTCCAAGCTGTCACGCAGACATTGTAACCAGGGGGAGTTGCTTCTCAGTTGCATCCTGGGTTGAAGTCACTCCCATCCCCCAGCTTCAAAGCACGGCCACAGCTGTTTAACATTATCTATAAAACCAGTTAAACCATTTAACTTACAGATAAGTTAAATGACCATGCTAGAGGTTAGTTGCAAAGCTGTTGCTATGGAAAACAGCTCTCAAAGGCCTTGCTCCATGTGGACCATCCCCCAGCTCAGACTGGTGGGGGTGAAGACATCATCTATATATTTTTCTCTAATATTTCCTGAACATCCTGAGTTCTGGACCTCACTATAAATCCCTATTTGGGGCCTCCCTCTTGGCTGCACCGTGTTACAGCTGTCTTGCTTGTGTTGTAATCATCTCATCAGGTTGACCCTTGAGTTCCAGGTGGTAAGCACAGTGTAGTTGAGGAAAGGTAGAAGTCACACAGAGGAATGTGACAATGGCCGCTGTCAAATTCGTAATGATTAATTTTCAATCATTTTGTTTTGGTAAAATCTCTAGAAATACATATGTTGAAATAAAAAGAAAAAGAGATTAGCATGGTCCCTGTGAATGAGAGACATAAACATTTTTATTCTATTACAGTATGTATTACAGTGTATATTATCATATGTTTACAGGCCTGTTTCTTCAGCTTATTTGTGGGAGCCCAAATGGCAAAGATTCTATTTCATAAATATTTTTATCTCCTGTACTTAGCCTGTATGGCAGCCAAAATATACTTTTTGACATTTAAAAATGTATATGTTTATTTTAAAATATTGAAGAAAATCTTCAGAATATCCAAAACCATCACTGCCCCATCCAATGATTTTAGTGCAGCTATTTTTATTCTTGCATGCTGTTCTGAGTTTTATTTATAGAACACATGTTTTAAGTGGCTAAGATTTTGAAATTTAATTATTCATTCACTCATTCAAAAATAATTGGTAAGGCACCAAGTGTGTTAGGCCCCAAGCTCTATGCTGGAAATAGAATAAGTAGATAAAATGAGTTCAGTTTCTGCCTTTCTGGAGTTGACGACTCTAGAGGAGACAGGTAGTTATCAAATAAACATAAGTAAGTGTAAAATTACCATTTTGATAAGTGCTAAGTTGCCATAAATATGATTGGGAGATTTTTAAGTAGCAAGAAATCAGAGACATTGAAGAAATGTGACTGAGCTTAGATCTCAAAGCTGAAAAGCAGTTAATTAAATGAAAAAAACCCTCAGCATTTCCAGAGGAAGAAACATCATGGTCACAAGCCCAACTGCATGGAAGCGTAGAGACTTCACTGTGTGCACTCAAGTCTTTCTTCTGGCAGGAAGGTGTACATCCATTAGATACTCAATTAATGTTTCATTTACAGATTTGATTTCTCCCTCAAAATATATAAGATTTCTTAGGTTTCTCCTTTAGTTTTTTCTCTAAATCATTTACTTCCTTTCACAATTTGCATCTTTGTTTTTTCTTCCATATTTTCACAGATTTTCAAATATAAGTTCATCATTGATTTGTTTTTTTTTGGTTATTGTCTTCTTTTAACCTTATCCAATATATATTTTAATTATATTCTTGCATTATTTTGATTCTTTGCAAGCTTTTTTATCTTATTCATGTATGTTGAATTTTTCTTTTTCCCCCTAAAATTTGTATTCATGTTTAATAAATGCCATTGATTTAAAGATTAATATTTATTCTGGATTCTTGGATTCTGAAGTTGATCAAATAATTTGAGGCATATATTTTAATGTTCCTTTCCCTCATTGTACATATCACATTTATAAAAATAAATGCATTCTTTGAATTCATATCATTTTAAATTATATAACATTTTATCATTTAATTCTGTTGTTCTTCCTCCTTCTAAAGTGTAAGTTTTATGGCTGTCCTTTGTTCTTATTTGTTATTATGTTTTACTTTTCTTGATAGATGTTTGACACTAAATTATTGAATACATATTTGAGATGTTGCTTTTATTTGCAGTATTTTAAAAATTGCTTCATAATTTCTCTTTATTTATACTGAGACAGGAGCCTACCAGACTTGTTACTTAGTAAGCTAGCAACGGAGTGGTTTTTGAAGTTTCTGTCTCTGTGATTAATGAATCTCTTCTTAGGTCTACAGCCTGGCACTAGGTTGATTATATAACTTCCAGGCTAGTTCCTAGATTCTAGCCAAGTTGTGTGAGTTAACTGTACTCAGGAATATCTCCCCCTACCCTACAGTTTGCTTTTCTGTATCTCTTTATCAAGGATTCTATATGGAGGTTTGTTTTTTTAAAAAGATGTCCAAGCTGTATCACAAATGCTTCAAATCAGAATCTCTAGGGTGGGTTTAAGATTGGGTTCTTTAAAAAAAAAGTTTCACAGGTGATTCTGGTGCCCCCAAATATTTCTTTTAACCTAGTGGGATAAACACTATGATTTCCAGCATTCACTATAATAACGCTGTTGGCACTAGCAATGTGATATTCTAATATTTGTTATCTTTATGTCCTTGTTCTACTTGTGGGGATGTGAAAGACGTCTCTTTGTGCATCAAAAACAAACCAATAAACACACAAAAAAATGATGTAATTTAGAGACAGCTCATAAATTATCTGGTGCAGACTCAACTTCTTCCAGAGAGCAGACAGATGAAATGACACATCTTTTATTATTTATTTATTACTTTTTAAAATTTTATTTTGTTAAGTATAGTTTTCTGCCATTTACTCCCACCCCAGCCCACTCCCCCATCCCTCCCCACCTCCTTACCGTTTCTACTCCCCCTTGTTTTTGTCCATGTGAAAGACACATCTTTTAAATAGGCTTTGCTTTTTCATGTTAATATCAGTTTTTCTTAATTTTTTTTCCATGAGCCCAAAATAAACAACACATTCTATAATATGTTGTTTGACAATCATAGCTTGCGAATTTTGTTTATCTCTATTTTCAGCAGTATTTTAATGGGAGGTTAGAAGAAGATGCACTGGGGTTGCTAGATAAAACTCAATTTTGAATTATAAATGAGTAAGGTCTGTGAAATATATGACTTAATACATGAATGACAGACATTGTGATAGCATAAATCCTCCATTGTACTAGACTTCAGGCTTGAGTAACACAATGCAAACTGTTTTTTTATGAAGATATTATGCTTTTCTCCTTATTTATGCTAACTTTCTCTCCTCATTTTTCACCTCTATCTATTCTTTTCTACTCACTGGTTTTATTGCTTTACATTACCCAAGCAAATGTTTTCTTCTATTATATACTGTTCACACTGGAAATGTGTGTGGATCATATATTCTAATCTTAACTACAAATACAGTCATATAATGATGAGTTTTCCCATTCATTTTCATTTATAGTTTGTTTCATTATTACAAATTCATAGGTAATTCATTGTCCCATCATGTGTAATGAGTGTGGGAATAGTCAGTAAAAGGACAAGAAAATGCTAAAAAATAATATCCTATTAAATTAGTACAGCATTGGTTGAAACACAGCAACAGAAGGCTTTTTTTCCCCCCTCCTTTTACATATAGGGTTCACTGCCTGCTCTGGCAGAAGGTATGGAATGTCCATCATTATTTAAGAATTCTAAGTTCACTTCATTCTCAGCTTTTCTTCCATTTTCTGATGCACTGGTATCTTTTTCTTGATTGATTTTTTCATAACATAAATAAATACAATATACAAAATAACTGTTGTAAATTTGAAGCATCCAATCAAGCCAAAGTAGTGTTTTCTGTGAAAAGAGAAGGTAAATTTTTATTTTTAATTGTGTGGAACAATTTGCAATGCTTCCCTCCAGTAGGCAGAAGACCTCAAAAGAAAAAAATGATGTTTGAAATTATACATGAAAATATTAAAGTAGCAATTCTGGTGATTTTTTATTGGAGCACAAAGAATTATTCATTATTTTACAAAGAATATTAAGCCATAGAAAGTAAGAGTAGTTAATAATCTACCCAAGTGTTCTCTATGAGGTACCATATTTTTTGGACCATAAAATGCACCTAGGTTTTAGAGGAGGAAAATAGCAAACAAAATTTTGAAGCAAAAAGTGTAAAATATTTAATAGCATAAATAACATAATATTTCACCAATGTAAATGTAAACAGAACTCAACAGCAGCATTAACAACCATTATTCCTCCCAAATTTGTGGGGGAAAAGTGCGTCTTATAGTCTGAAAAATACGGTAGGTATATTTGGAATGCTTAACTTTCTCAAAGCCAGATTTTATGTATAATGTGACAGATTATAAAGGAAATGAATTGACTGTGAGATAATCAAATTGAAACTGTTTAGATCGAACCAAGGGACAACATTTACCTTCTAGACTCAAGAAGCGCAAAATGCCCTGCAGTGCGGTCCACTGGGAATATTTCAGTGACCAACACACACGGTCTATTCCTGTGAGTCCCAACTTTGGCTGCACGTGAAAATCACCTGAAGAGATTTAAAATCTACTATGTCCAGGCCATACCCCTTGACCAATTAAATTAAAATGTCTAGAGGTGGGACACAGAAATTAATTTTTTTAAAGCTCCTCAGGAGATTACAATGAGCAAGAAAGATGGATGACCACTCACCTCATACATCAGGGAGCACTCACTGGCCTCATGACAGTGGAAACTAAGTGATGATAAGCTTTGTACAAACAATTTTTTTTAACAATTAAGGTTTAATTGAAGGTGAATGACATTAGTTATATAATTTTGACCTTTTTAAACTTAAGTTTATCAAAATTTCAGTAGGATCTTGTGGTGTAATGAATATGGTAAAAGCAATATTTTAAAAGTCTTCAGATATATTTGCTTCATGCTTGGGTTATATCAGGTATATGTTAGGATTTTCAAATATTCCATTGCTATTAAGAAAAATTAATGAGTTTCTGTTATGTGACTGTTATTGAGAAAATTTGAATGAGTTGTGTTTAAATTTAGGATTGATATCAATAAGCATGTCTATTTTTTTTGGATTAGGAATTGTTGATATTATATGTCTGTGCTAGATAAAAATCAATGAACAATTATCTGGTTACCCCCAAATAGTAAATCAAAAAAATCATGAGGTAACAATTTAACTTTCAGTTGTGTATTCACTGGTGAATGCACAGCTATTTTTAAGCAATTACTTTCCGAAGTACTTTAGGCAAAGAAGACAGCTGGCCAAAGGAAAAGTGACGAGGGCTGTGAGTGAGCTCCAAAGTTCGTAGAGTTATAAAGATGGTTAGTTATTCCCAGCTTGCTGGAATGGTGCAGACTTTAGGAAAGATCACATGGTTAGAATTACAAAGTATGTAGCTTTCTCAGATGGCCTTCTTTTACTTCGATATGCATTTCAGTGTCTGTCTTGTCTTTTTTTAGCTTGATAGCTCATTTCATTCTTTCCCTTCCCATTTTATTTTTAAACTTTATTTTTCTTTACACTATTACAGATGTGTCCTCCTTTGCCCTCTTCCACCCAGTTCTTGACACCCCTTTGCTTAGGCCGTCACCACACTGTTGTCTGTGGTTATGGGCCATACATATATGTTCTTTGGCAAGTCCCCTCACCTTCTTACATCCAGTACCTGCCCCATCCCCTCTGATGCTGTCAGTCATTGTAGAAAGCAGTATGCAGTTTCCTCAAAAAATTAAAAATGGACCTGCTTTTTGACCCAGCGATTCCACTTTTGGGAACATATCCTAAGAAACCTGTGATGCCGATTCAAAGGAATATATGAACACTATGTTCATAAAAGCATTATTTACAATAGCCAAGACCTGGAAACAGCCCAAGTACCTATCAGTAGATGAGTGGATAAAAAAGCTGTGGTACCTTTACACAATGGAATACTACATGGCAATATAAAGGAAGGAACTCTTACCTTTTGCAATAGCATGGATGGACCTGGAGAGTATTATGCTAAGGAAATAAGCTAGTCAGTGAAAGAGAAGTGCCATATTATCTCACTTATATGTGGAATCTAGTGAACAAAATAAACTGATGCACAAAATCCATTCTTTTTATTTTTTAATAATATCCTACTGTATGAATATATCCCAGTTTATTTATTTACCCACTGAAAGACACCTTGGTTGCTTCCATCTTTTGGCAATTATGAATAAAGCTGCTACAGATATACATGTGCAGGTTTTTGTGTGGACATTAGGCTTCCAGCTCATCTGGGTAAATAATGAGGAGCACAATTACTTGATTATACGATAAGCCTATGTTTAGCTTTGTAAGAAACTGTCCCACTGTTTTCTAACCTGGCTGCACCATTTTGCCTTCCCACCAGCACTGAACGAGAGTTCCTGTCATTCCACACCATTGCCAGCATTTGGTGGTATTTACCTTCAGATTTTAAGAGCTCTGTGTAAAGAGCTCTCTATAAAGAGCTCTTTAGGACATTTGCCTTGTGTCTGTGTTGTGAATAACAAATAACTTCTCCAGTTTATCTTTTGTCTTTGAACTTTGCTTAAGGTAAGTTTTGTGATACAGAATTTTTTAAATATTTTATTTTTTTCTACTATGGTTTTGGGGGTTTGGGTTCACACTTAGAAACATGTTCCTGCATGTTCTAATTATTTTAATTCCTAGAATTAAAATAATTTCTATCACCATTTCTTCTAATACTTGTATTTTTAAATTTTAAACTTATGTATTTGATTAATCAGCAGTTAATTTTTATTTAAAGTTAAGATATTATTGCTACAACTTTTTTTCTAGATGGCTACCTACTTGTTTCCTTATGAATAGAATAGTATAGATGTGATTGTTTCCTTTTTGTTCCCCACCGACCTACCACTAGGGCCTCAGTTGGTCATTTTGCATCTTCCGGGAGAAGCCAGAGGCCATTGAACAAAACTGTTGTTGATTGTTTGGAGAGGCTTTGGAAACAAAATGATTTAAGTAGAAACTCCAAATCTTTTTGTTATTAGCTGTGTGATTTTTGAACACATTATTCATTCTCTAAAAATTTTAGTTTTTTCATATTTAAATATTATTCATATTTTAACTTTTCATAAGAAAAAAGAAGACAAATTTTCCCCTTCTACAGTTTCTCTGAGTATTAAAATGAGGCATCAGATTGCCTGATATAGCACTGGGTACAGTTTATTAAATGACAGCTATAATTATTAATATTATTATACTGACAATGATATTTCATCCTTTAAGAATTAAAATCAACAAATTATTAATAGATTAATGAAGTATAATGACAACTTACCCATATAATTTGGAATTATATATCCTACAAGAACCTTGCTTCCCATGGCTGTTGATGGACCACTTCATGCACGCTCTATCAATCAGAGCCCCAAAGTATACAGGTGCTAGAATTCCTCCTGCAACATGGGAAGAGGTGTCAAGCCAAGGAAACCTTTCAAATATGATGGGGTGATATTCCACTTTGATCCAATTTGGGTTAAGTAAAAGTTAAAAAGTTTGGAGGACTCGTTCATTGTTTTGGCTTAATTCTACTCAAGAATCAAGGTAATCAGGAATCTCAAAGGGTAAAAGGGGTCAAAAATATGGTGACGGAAGAACTGACTATGGGTGGTGGGTCCACACTGCAATATATAGATCATGTATCATAAAAATATACACTTGAAACCTATATAATATTATTAACCAATGCCACCCCAATGCATTAATTAAAAAATAGAAAAGGGCCTTGGCTGGTATAGCTCAGTAGACTGAGCATGGGCCTGTGAAGCAAAGGGTGGCCAGTTCAATTCCCAGTCAGGGCACATGGCTGGGTTGTGGGCCAGGTCCCTATTAGGGGGCACATGAGAGGCAACCACACATTGATGTTTCTCTCCCTCTCTTTCTCCCTCTCTTCCCTTCTCTCTAAAAATAAATAAACAAAATCCTTAAGAAAATAAAATAAAATAAAAAAGGAATCTCAAAAGCTCAAACCACAAATGATAGCGCAGACATCTTTTTTCTGCCCTCACCTTGTCACCACACAAAAGAACACTATTTATATGCCTGTATGCTCTGTCCTTCTTATAATGACAAATAACTTAAGCCTGATTGATGAAAAGGAGAATGCTGTTAGTAAAACATGAACATTATATTGGTTCATGTGCAATATTTTTTTTTAGTGAAGAGAGCTGGAAGAGTGGGAATAGACATGACTTCACAAGGAAATGAAAAAGCTCTCAACTGCTGCCAAGGCAAGAGATTTTTTCAGCTCTATTTTTAAGAAAATTAAAAGGTAAGTGCCAACACTAAGACTTCCTCCCCAAAGAAGCATGGGCCAAGCCTCACAGAATGCTAGGCTCTTGGCAGGCTGTCCTTTCTTGGCTCAGAGCTCCACGTCCACCTTCTGGGTGTCACCGCAGCCCAGTGTGCATTTTCTCTCCATTGAAGGGGTGTATTTTTAACACTTCCTGAAACAGACTTGGCTGTCCAAGTCACAGTCTGTGGTGCTGAATTTTTATTGTAATGCTGCCTGCCTAGGCCTCCTGTGGTCTGTTCCTAACCTAATTTTTATTTGCAATTTATGATTTTATACTTGAGTCTCTTCAGGAACATGTGTGCTGCCTTATAGCAGAAGTACACACCTACTTTTACTGCTATTTTAATAAACTCTGAGATTGACTCCTAATTCTAAACATTGGTAATTTGACCCAAAATTTAGGGACATGCTCATTTGGACTAAACTTAATGAATTAAATGTTTAGGCAACAAAGGTGGTCTTAAATCATTATTGGAATTTTAAAATTTGAAATAACTTGTTTTCCAAATACTGTTTTCAGTCTAACATATGCTATAGATCTCCCAAAATTTATGCATATATTGTTTCAAGACAATTGCTTTTGAACTGAAAGTTTGGTAGTCAGCATGCACTTTTCCTGTAGAAACAGACAGGTTCCATTGTGTCATGCATTGGACATATCAAAACAGGATGCTCACAACTAGGAAGACAAAATTCCTTTTTTCTATTTTATATTACTAGAGGAACTTCCTTTATTCTCAGTCTTATGTCAGCATAACAAAAGGGAGTACTGGCCCCCAGATTCTGTGTTCATCTGCTCACTTCTATGCTCTAGATTCTCAGAGTAAGGCATCTCCATTGGATCTGGAAAGAGGGAGCTGCTGGGATGGACAGAGACTGTGAGATTAGAGTAGCAGAGAAGAGAAAGCTGGGGAGGGAACTGTAATGGAATCCTGCAGCACCTTTTTTTTTCCTCCTCTCCCAGCCCCATTCTATTTCCTTTTTACCTTTGAGGATCTGTGGCCCTCCCCCAAATATACTTCTTGCACAATTTGCCCATTTTAATTTGTCCACAATGTTATGCTTCTGTCTTTTGCTTGCAGGGGTCCCAGGGATTGACCCCTCCCACTTCCCTTTCCTTCTGTCACAAGCAATTGCCTCCAGGCCATGACCAGCCTTCTACCCCAACCCCTAGATGAGTGGTGCCCTTTTCCCACTTCCCAGGAGTTAGCATATAATGTTAATAGGTTTTACACAGAGGCATGTGCTGGAGTTAAACTGGAAGTTGTTAAGCTAACAGGAATCTGTGCGGTCTATAAGGTAAATGGTAAATGGTATGCTAATTACTTCATTTGAATATTTAGAAATAGGCTTTTAACCTCAAGTGTCTATAGCCTTAGTCTTTAATAACTACAGCAAAAAAGTCGATTTCCTCAGCTTTCATTCAAAACACTCCCTTATTCCAAGATGTTCAATTCTTTTAGTTCTCACTTCCTCTTGCATTTTTCACTTCTGATAAAATTTAGCTGCTCCAGTTAGAGAACCAGGGAGTGGGGAGTGGGGCAGCAAAGTCCATTTCTGTTGTTTTGCACAGTGTCAGCCTGACCAGATTCCCAGGGCCCCAGCTGTTTGGGGCATTACCCCTTCAGTGTAAAAGGAAGGCCCTTTACTCTGCCTATGGGAAGAAATATTCCTAAATCTGAAAGGAAGAATCAATTTTGCAGACCACCTATCTCTTGTAGAAAGAGTGTGAAACAAATATGATGATTCTTTTTTCTAGTTGAATATGGACTTGACCTAGAATTAACAATCAAATTCTCTTTTAGTTCACAGTTTTCCTCTGTCTCTTATTTGTTATTGACCACAACAATACAAATGAGTTTAACTAATATTTTTTTACTGTTTTTTTAAAGTGAAATTAACTACACCCAGTCTTTGAGCATGGATGTGAAAATTTATATGTCCCAAATTTATAATTTGTCTATTTATCATACCTAGTGTTCGTATAGTCAGTGAATGGAAACCCACCGCAAGGGATTTGAGTTCAGGTTGAACATTTCTGAAATAAAATAAAGGCAAAAAGAATCATTAAACATCTTTAAAATGCCAAACTGAGTGCAACAGTACAACATTTCTGTGTCATTGGTCTTTGGGGTTGAATAAAAACCTTCTAGTAAACAATTGGCTTTATTGAAAGTTCTATTTTCGGTTGTTTTAAAAGGATAAGATCTGAATGATAATAATTATTACTTTCCCTTATTTAATGAGTTACCATTTCAGGATAAAATACAGTATTTCAGAATAAAATACCTCCTTTATTTCATCCTCTATCCTTCATTTCAGCATCAATGATAATTTGTAATTGTGTATTTATTTTTAAGCTTATTTGTCTTATGTCAGTCATCCTTGCTATACTTGAAATTGAATGGGAATGGATATTTTATCTGTTATATTCATCATGGGATATTCTTCATCAGGTAAGGTCTAAATATTAGTTTAATGAGTGAAGAAAGGAACAGATTTTGGTCATATATTTTTTTCTTGTCTGAGAAGGTATTTGAGAGACTAGGTTAAAATCCATTCTAAGGGTGGATTAAAAGCTTTGCAATACTATAGACCTTATATCATACAATTTGGTTCCCAAATATTTTCTTTGAATAGATCAATAGGTAGTTCACTTTGACAGGCTCATCAGGATGTAAGGTATTTCAAAATTAGAAGTTCTTTTAGAGTCACAATAGAGATTCTTTAAGGATTAAGGTGATTTTCAATTAGTCTGTTTTAATATTCTTAGTAAGAAGAGCAAGTATAGAATTTATATTTTGTCATGTAAGAACCAGAGGTGAGTTATTATTAATTATGTTATTGAAGCATCAAAATAATTATAAGAAAATGCATTTTTAAAACATTAAAATGTAACAAAATATGAATTTGGGTTCCAAATATATTGTGGAAAAAATGTATGTTTTGGGTGTGCTTATAGTCTTATATACATAAAAAAGCTTTTAAAAAGTGATACTCACTTAAAAACCATCATGATACTTGAGGCGGTTCCCAATGATGTGGTAAAAGAACTCAGGATCTGCACTGCCATATAAATATAAAATTTTCGTGTACACTGATCATCTTTTGGGCATATACCCAGTTTTACTGAGATGTTTTTGTTCTGGAAACCAGTTGCTTCCACACAACTACAGTTATAAAATTCCTACAAAACAGTTTTTGAGATATTACAGAATATATTTGTACAATATGACTGATCTATAAATACAGTCCATTATTTTTAAGAAGTCTCATTCATTCAAGCTAAAATATTTACAGTTTATGAAGAAACTATTCTAAAAATACAGTTGCTTGATAGTTGAAAAGCAAAATACTTTACTGGATTCCTTTCTACAAAACAAAATGTAATTTACCATTAACATTTAATTCATCCCCGCTTTAAAAAATAGTAAAGAATAAAATAAATTAATGTCTGAAACTGTGTATAATTTTCTCATTAATGTAAATTCTTTTACTATTTTTCTCCTGCTCACTTTTATTATCCATAACACACCTACTTACTCTCTTCAACAATCTCTACTAAGTATCAGGGACATTCTTTGAGGAGGGATTATCCAGGGAATCCAGAAAATACAGTAATTTGGGAGAGGCCAAAAGTCTGGGACTAGAGCCACCCACTGGAATGGGGCAGAGTCCAGGGGAAAATGGGCCAGACCTTGGCCAGCCAACACCAAGTCTAAGAGCATAATGACAGATTAGAGAATAGATGATATTATTACCAGAGAAGGTAAACCTAACAGATTACCCTAATAGTTTGAGGGCAGGGGGATAAAACTTAGGAACAAATGATGTTAGAGATTTAATTTGGCAGGCACTTTATATATAGACAGGCAGCTTCAGTAATTGTTTCTGAGTCTAAGCTAAACTAAAGTTTAAGAGAAGTCTAAACCTATTAGTGCTAAAGGCTAATTACTGAAGGAAAAATGGAGGAAGAATTTGAAGCCATACTTATCTGACAATCAAGCTTTATTTTTTTTTACAAGGAATAATGTGGAAAAACCCTGTATGTAGCAAGCCTACTGGCCAATAAAATCAAACTTATATATAAAGAATCATATTTTGAATAATTAAGAATAATTCATTTTTAAGGATTTTGGTAAAACAATTCCACAGTAGTCTCAAAATGTATAGTCATTGACAATATTAAGAAGGTAATGTCACTATACTAACCAGAGCTCTGGATGCTAACATCATGTCTCAGGCATCACTAATAGGCAAAGTGAGACCATAGATTAAATGGGGCACTTTCAGTGTGATGTGGGGTTTAAAGATGGTCCGTGTGCCACATTTTGCAAATTTATGGCCCCATTTCAAAAATACTAGGTGCTTTATTTTTTAAAAAATGTCATTACCCTTCAATAATATGATTAATAGAACTATGGGCAAGAAAAGGATGAAAAAAGTTTGAAAATCAAAGGCAGAAAGCAATAATTATAGCTGATATTGCCAATGTTGGTTCTAGAAAAAAAGGGCCCAGGAAATGACCCTCCTACTTTGTGAGAAATTCAGTGAATTGGAGGTAAAGTAGAGAACACCCTACTTGATCCCCAACTCTTGGGAATTACCCAAGGTAATTTGCATGGAAGCAGGTATTTTGCATGGAAGCAGGTATTTTGAGTGCAGAAGTACATGGAATTTCTATGTGAGATGCTAGCACTAGGTTAGCTGAATACCAGGTTAACTTGGGTAGAATTGCCAACTTTGGGGAAATGAAATTTGGAAGGCTAGAGTTGGACAGTCAAGTGAGTATGAAGCTTTGATTACTTTCTTTGAAAGACAAAAGTGTAGTGAGGCTAGAGAAAAACTTGTCAGAATCTATATGCAAAATTACATACAGTTTTCCTGGAAAAGCAGGGAGTGTTGACAAGGAGGTGGCTCAGGACTTCCTCCTAACTGCTGAAGGGTATAAGGTACCTCCAACTTAATTAAAATCATATCCTTTCATCAAATGAGGGGTTTTTATTTTTATTTTTGTTGTTTTTTTATTTCTAAGTATTTATAATACTGTGAATACTACAGCTATTCAAAAAAGTAATCCCTACAAGAATATAACGAGACACATAGAACAAGGATGAGACATCTTTAGCCAGCAGCGCTAGTCCAGGCCGTAAACCTTTACCAATCCATTACATACTGCTTTTCTAGAGTATCTTGTGGTGCAGTAATTTGTAAAAACTGACTCCTGCATAAGATTTAAATACTATATATTTTGATGCCAAATGAATATGGGTATAAAAATAACCTAAGTATTTCACTAAAGAAAAAAGGATCATTGTAATTATCCATTTAAAATAACTACACATTTTGAGTGGTTTGATTCAATCTTCATTGTATATTTTCCATTACCATTTAGTCTCCTTTTACCCGCCTGCCCTCTGCAAATTCCACACAGTTGTCCATGTCCATGAGTCCTTTTTCCTTTTTGTTCAATCCCGCCACCCCCAAGCCTCCCCCTGCTGCCTACCACCCCACACTAACTTTTTAGATATCTTAAATGCATTTAAATTCTAAAAGGTCATATTCTTATATACTCAAGAGGAAAAAAATTTGAGTAGCCTGCAATGAAAATTCAAGCAACAGAAAATCTTGTTTGTGTCCCAAGTCAAATTTTGTTCTATTTCTACATAAATCTTATAAAATCCAAGCAGAATTTTATATGAGGCTTTGTTTATACAAGATCACAGCCATTACAATGACACAATACTGGAAATCTTTTTCTTTTATCTTTTTACCGAAGCCACAATTATAGAAAAGTTTGATAAGTAATTGTTAAATCAATATCTGTGATTTTGATTAAGGAGAGGAGGGAAAAAAAAAACCCTAATACTCACCATAGGCTTTTTATTACCACTTGAAGATTTACATCCTGCTAGACAAGGGGACATGTAAGTTATTCCATTGCTCCCACAGACTGGTTCCCACTGGCTTTCATCACAATTGCAATTTGAGTTGCAATCAGAAAGTGGTACATTTATGTGAGATGCCACTGTATTATTTCTGGAAATATATGATATACATATATCAAAAAGAGAGACAGAGAAAGAGAGAGAAGGAAGAAGGGGGGGGTAAGGTGGAAGTAAAGAAGAAAAGGAAAGGAAGGAAAGAAGAAGAGAGGTAAGAAGACGGCAGAGAGGGGAGGTGAGGAAAGGAGAAATAAGGGAAAGAGTTGTCCTTTAATTCAATAGGAAAATTTGATAAGTAATGATGCCAAAATGGCAAGGTTTTATAGAGCTTATTAGCTTTTTCACCCTCCATCTTTACCCAGACATGATTTTTGATCTAGATAAGGTAAATTTAAAATAATAAAAGAAACCAAAGAGGTTAGGTAAGACTTAGACAAGAGGTCTTTGTGATTCTACCACTTCATTTTCTATTACTCAGTTTCTCTGCAGCAGGGTGATGGCATTAGACTAAGGCTCCTCCCAGCTCACTGTAAAGTCCCATAAGTCTGTGAATGTTATTCAACCAATTTAAATTTACTATCTATATTTTCACTACATAGGAAAATAATTCAACATGGTTAAAGCAGAATCCTTGAGGCTAATTTTTTTTTTTAAATCAAGAAAAATACCATCAGTTGAGAGAAACTAGAAAAATTCCATATATTTTTAAAATAAAACTTCAACATACTTTATAATAACTTACTATAAAACATGGTTATATTTGTAAAATATAATCTTAAAACACTGCTAAAATGATAAAATAGAACTTTTGTGTAATTAATTTTCTGCTTATAATTTTTTTTTAAGATTTTATCCATTTTATTTTTAGAGAGGGAAGGGAGGGAGAAAGAAAGAGAAACATCAATGTGCAGTTTCTAGGGGCCGTGGCCTGCAACCCAGGTATGTGGCCTGACTGGGAATCGAACCTGCGACACTTTGGTTTGCAGCCCGTGCCTAATCCACTGAGCTACCCCAGCCAGGGCTGCTTATAAATTTTTAAAATAATTTTTTTGTTTTTGGTAAAAGTCTTGATAATAATTAAGGGTTGATCAATCTTTTTAAATGGGAAATTGATTTACATGAAAAAAGAGAAAAGTAGATTCCAAAACTCCAAAATTCTATTATAAATAATTTTACTAAAAAGCATCTAATAGCTAACTCCACCTGGGGTCATATGACCTGGGCAATGGTTAATGAGGTGGTCCAGACACCGCAGTCAGAAACTCCCGTGCTCACATTCCTTCTTTCACGTCTGGGCAATGTGACTGCTCTTCCTAAAATCAGTTCTGCCATTTGTAAGTCATATATGATGACATCAAATCAAACTCATAGGAATTTTGGGGAGGTGAAAATGAATTTGGCAGTTCTCAAAGTTTTTGTTCTCAGTAGCCCTTCACACTGAAAAGTTTGGGGGCCCTCAATGTTTTTGTTCAAGTGGGGTGTATCTGCTGATATATACTCTATTAGAAAGTAAAGCTAAGAAAACATTAGTACACGAGAATTTACAAGCACACATTCATTATCCAGCAGACTAGTGTCATCATTGCCTGTCTCACAGGCTTAGAAAATGCCACTATACATTCATGAGAAAAGGAGAATGAAAGAGTGAATGCTATCTTGGTATTATTTTTAAAATACTTTAAAATATGTTGACACTCTGATAAGCTCTCAGGGACCCCTACAGACCCTCTTCTGAGACTCTCTGCACTAACTCACACTGTAAGAATCTACCCCCGTGACCAGCATTTCATAGATGCTGAATACACTGATCCTACATTTCCTCTCCTCAGACTGTGAAATCCATGCAAGCATTGATGTAACAGATAAATCTCCTTGACTTTTAAGGAGGCATTTTGTAGAATTTTACTGATTGAAAAATATTCCACAGGACTGTAGCTGCCTTCTTTTGAACAGATGGCACCGTTAACTTGTTTTCAGGGGCCTGGCTAAAGGCTAAAGAAAGCCTGCCCCAAACCGATGATGTGAATGAAGCAGAGCCATCTGAAGGCATTGTCGACTTCAGACAAGTCGCAGTTTCTCTGAGTCTCAACTCATAAAAAAAGGGAATATAAAAGGGTCAGGCTGCATGATCCTAAGGTTCTTTTACCTGTAAAGTTCAATGCTCTAGGTACTCTGTATTTTGATTTAACAGTAGAGTACGTGACAATGTATAGAAATAATAACAGCCAGGATTAGGAGGAAGCCAGGAGATAATGCAAGACTAGGTTGGCAAGCCTCCAATAACACGATGATGCTTCAGTAAGGAAATATAGGAATATTTGACAAGTTAAAATTGCTACTTTGTAAGATCTAGAGTGTAAAAGCTCAGAACCCACAATAAGCAGTTAAAGAGCATGGTGACTGAACTGTGATTCAAGGATCTTTGCTTGTTACTTGAATGGGAGCCTTCCCAAATATGAACCTTCCTAAACTTAAGCTGTTGGCTGTATTTACGAGATGATACATATGCGCAGGAATCTTGCCCTTGATTTGGGGTAGAGATTGGAGTAGTCAGAATAATTCATAACACTTGATAATAATAAAAATGAAAGGTTTTCTAGACTCTGATATGCACTTATATACAGGATATTTATCAATCCTGTTAATGAAGACAGTGCCAGAGGAAGCAGTATTTGTTTGCAGAAAAGGTGAACTCAGTAGTACAAGGTAAGGAAATGTTTCCTTGTAAAGATAATTGTTAAACATCAAAATTAACTGCAGATATAGATAGTTCAGTCACTTTTAGAAAATGTCATTTATATTCACCTCATGATCCATCCAAGAATATAATGATTAAGGCTAAGAATTTTGGAGTGAAAAACCCTAAATTTGAGTCAAAATCTTAACATTGCTAGCCATGTAATTTGTGTACCCCTCTAAACCTTACACTTCTAATCTATAAAATTAGGCTTAAAGTATGCATCACTCACTGTAAGCACCCCATAAATGATAACTATTGTCACAAACTATGTAGTTTTTTAAAGATTTTTTTAACCTTGTACTGTTTTACATTCAACAGTTTATACATTGTGCAACTATATATTGATATATACAAACCCATCATAGGTCAAGGTTAGACCGGCAACTGGTTTGTTTTCACAGAAGAGTGCAAAATTAAAGAGGTGTAGTGTGAAGATCACAATATTGATACAAAATAAAAATTTGGCAATTCCAAGCAAGGTAAATTTGAATTTTTTAATGATATATCCTCCTGTAAACATTCCAGTTGCAAGAGATGGAAGGGTTATAGCTCCTAGAAATAAAAGAAAAATTGTAATTATATACAGTTATTCTGAAATGGCTTTACATACAAAACACTGTGAACAGCAGCCAAATTTATTATGACCTTATTACTTCTTAAGAATGGCAGATCCAGATGGACGCAAGCAACCAGTATACAATGTGGGAGAGATGAAAATAATTTCTTACTGCCAATGCTGAGGGTTTGGTTTCCCAAAAGCAAAAGTCAGTGACAGAATATTTTTATATCTGTATAGATGGTTTCTATGAGATGCTATTTCATCCTGGAAATCAACTTCCAGGAGAGACTTTTTTCCTATCATCTAAAATCCTTTACATCTCCTCAAAATGAAAAGTTCTAATTCTTAAACACACTCCAAACTTACCCAGTACTTTAGAATTGAATACTTGAATTAATATCTCTTTTTTATTAATTCAAACACACAATATACCCTGAGATGATAAACAGATTTATATACAGTATTAAAAATGATTGATCCCTCTTATAAGTTTTCATTTCATTGTACTGCAAGAGTTATTAAATATGAAGAATGCTCTAACAAAAAATTCAGGATGGGAAAATTACTGAGTCAAACTTCACTCTTCCAGTTCAATCTTTTATCTCAAATTCAATATGAGCATCATAAATAATTAAATAATTATCATTTTCTTATTTATTTGTGACCTATTCATATACCACTTGATATAAATTCAATTTAATTTATCAAATATTTATTAAGTTTCTACAATGTTCTGGGCATTGTACTGGGTAATGTACTGCTCTTAAGAATCTGATATTATCCTGGGTGTAGGGGAAGAATGATATAAGAAGACCATTCCTTCATGAGCAAGCCTCACTATGTTGTGCTAAATGAATATTGTAGCTAAACAAACAAACAAACAAACTGCTATACAATATGATATTAGTTTTGAGTTACGTAGACATCAATAACATGTTTAAATTGTTTTTCTTTGGGAAACATCACTGTTCTATTTTTTGTAAACAGTTGAGTCCTGATTCAAAGTCCATGAGTTATGGAAATACAGTAATTACATTACAAAGGGCTTTGTCTCTGGATCTCAGCACTAAATGATAAGATCCAATTATGCAGATACCATATCTGAATATTTCATTCACACACAATTTTTTCTTCAAAAATTTATTCAAAAATAATATGAGGTGCCACTTCAAATTCAGAACAATGATATCACAAGATTGACAAATTTGATAAGATTTGCAAGAGAATAAATTGAAATTATATTTACTAACATATGAAATTGCCATCACAATATCACTCACAACTCAATTACTTGGGAGTATATTATTTATCAAGCAAACACAAACAATGTATCTTACCAATCACCAAGTTTGTTTCAGAGGCTGACTTGTCATATTGTTGTTCTATGTATTTGAAGACATAAGTAACAATAGCAATATAGGCACTGGCTTGCACCAATGTCAGCAACAAATACAAAACATATAAGGGATTGGTAAGGATGCTTTTCAAGGACTGGAAAAAATCTATAAAAACATAAACATAAAAATAGAATACTGTAGCTTAAATATATTAATATCTTAATCTTATAAATATGTTATATAACATTTAAAATTATATAAATACATGACACCAGAAAGTCAGAATACCTGCAATCCTATCAATAATTTTTTATAAATTCCTTTAATTTTTCCATGTATACATTAATATTTACTTCGTTCCTTTTACCTTAATGGGATCATGTATATGTGCTGTTTGCAACTTGCTTTGTTCACATTGTATTTGGTTATTTTTGCCATTCTACCATACAACTACATACATGACTAACTAATTTATTCATTCATTCAACACATTGCTTCTAAGCTGGAGATGAGACAACATGTTTGCATTCAAAAAACAAAAGTTAGGAAGACATGAACTGTCTCTATTAGCACTTAATAATGTAATTATTAAATAGAAATTTACCTAAAGACAATATAATGCAAAGCTCACAGAAATAAGAGTAAGACTCAAAAGTTGATCATGAAGATCAACAGGTCCCTTGTTATTTGGCACACAGCTTTTCTACAATAAAACTATTGTGTCAGTACACCTGGCAGTATTATACATCACTTTTCTCAAGGTGCAAGGAGAGTCAGAGAATAATGATGTGTCTCAATTGATACTATGCCAATAATAGTACAACCACCTGCACCTACAAATAGAGGGGTAACAAATTCATAACTTCTGTCCATGGAAGAATTCTGTGGTCTGGGTCTGTGATTAGTAAGTCAAACAGCTATATTGGGAGTTAAAGTGAAAGGGGCTACTTATAAAAACAGGCAGGGTAGCAAAGTCCAAAAGGACTGAACCAGATACTCAGAAATAGTTATTTCTCAATAACTATTAACTATTTGAGAGATAGATCCCGCAGGCTTTGAAAGATCTTGTTCTGTAGATCACTGAAGGTTTTCATTAGATCTGGTCAGAATCTAGCCTTCTTTCCAGTGGCAACTAAAAATAGTTTTATCTGCTGTAAGCAGAAAGGAGAGTTACGGCAAACAGTGTGGAAGAAGGAAAAAGAAAATTTATAACTGGACTAAATAATATTTAAAATTATCTGGCCAAAGCATGCTAAACTTCTCTCACAGTGCCCCACAGTCTGGAGGACCCCTGACTGGTGAGGCGACCTAGGTAAGTGGTGATGCTGGGCCATGAGCAACGGGGCAGGAGTGCTTGACGGATCACTGACTTTTCAAGGAGGGTGGGAACTTGGGTGTTGTCTGCTCTGAACTTCCACACAATCATGATCCACAATGTATCCTCAATAATTGGATTGATAAACAAGTCAAGGGACATTAAGCTAATGTCCTCAGAAAGAAATTTGCTCCATTTTTGGCCAATTCTTATTGTTAATAATTTTATTTACAAATTGTTTTTGTAATGAACTGAAATATTTCTTTCTTTCTTTCTAGTTAGTCCTATTTCTATTCAAAAACATATAGAACAAATGCAATTTTGTTTTTTCTGACTTAGTGGTCTTAGTTATTTTATCATTCCTAACAGCATGTAATTAAGGGCCTCTTTACTATTCTGCTATTCTGGTCACTATCTAACAAACAGTTGATAATATACATGATATTTACATGTGTCCTATTTCTGTATATTCATTACCCTCTTCATTCTTTTGGGGCTCACAGTCCATTATGTTCTTTTCGGTTTGAGTCAATCCACTACTTTTCATGGATTTGAGCTGGTACAGTGGAAACAGCATAGACCAAGTAAAATTTTCTTGGTATGCTATTTTTTAGTGTACATGTTAAATTTCAGAAGCTTCTAACTCAGTAGTGTGCTGATAAATGTTTCATTGACTCTTGGGAAAATAAGGCCTGATCTGTAGTATTTCCCAGTTCACACAGTAATAAATGATGGTAAATTCCCCCACAATGGCCAATGTCAAGCTTCCAGTGTAGCTGACAAATGAACAGTCCTATCTCACAAGCCAACAGATGCTGGCTCCATCATTCTGTTGGTCTCAGATTAAAGTGATGGGGAGGAGAATGTAACAATCGAGAGAGTATAAGAAACTATGAGAGGGAGAACTCGGGCTATACCTGAGAATATTTAATTCACTTCAACATAAAAAGGTTGTCAAGGTGTTGGGAACCACTCTGCCTAGTATCAGAAACTGTAACCCCCACCAAGGCTAAGGCTGAGGGAACGACCTTAGACCCTAAGCCAGCAAGGAGACAAAATCTTATCTCCCTGGCTTAGGAGCACTACTTCTGCTCCTTTCACTTCATCCATAGCTGGTCCCCAATGCTTGGTTGGTTAGCCAATGATGGGTAAGATTCCCCAAGAGGGGAACCATCTAAGACAGGCACGATCATGTGGGAGGCCCCTAAGGAAGGATTTTGGGAACTACAACAAAAGGGGGTGATGGACCCTTGCCCCTCAGCTTTGACAAAGCTTGAGTCCTCATTGTCTGTGAGAAAACCTAATCTCTTGGCTGCCTTACTTCCCTTGCTCCACCTAAGCCTGAAACAATGACAGAGGGTGGTGCAGCCCTGTGCTGGAAAGGGCAGGTTCCCTGGGCAATCAGGCCAAAGAAAGAATATGTAAAATCCTGTGAAACCTGCTTTGTTTAGAATGCTCTCCATGAAATGATAAGGGTCCAAGCAAGAAGTAAGTTTGTTCCTCAAAGTTTTACAACTCTTTAGCTATCTGACCATAACTCAAAATAGGCCCTCAGAGTTCCTTGTTATCTATTGTTTGATCCTTACTTCCTGGCAATAATTAATGACCTTTGCCTGAATTCCTGTGTAAACAAACCCAATAAAAGCCTGCTCAGGTGGGAGAATGGGGTGCTCTCCACTAGAGAGAGTGGCCATTTCGTCCCTATTTCTCCACAGGATTTGGTTGTCCATGTGTATGTTTTTCTTGTGTTTCAATGAGCCATCTGCAGCGTTCCGAGGTCACTGCCGGTTGGTGGCCGAGACATCAAGGGATTAGGCATTGCTTCACTTTGGTTTTTATCTGCCACCATTTCTGTGCAATGTGGAGGCGCACTAGCTCCTGCTTGCTTCCACTACCTTGCCCTGACTGCTGCTGGACCATTCTCCAGGTGATTGCTCCTAAGCTGTTCTCCCCTACCCCTCAGGGCTCATGACTGAGAGGGATGGCACTAGCAGATGGCGGACGATCATTATTCATGTGACTGAATGCGAGCATCTTAGCTACTGCTAGTGCTGCTACTTTTTAAAAAATGTTTAGGTAAGCAAACTTTTTTCTATGTGATTACAAAGAAAAAAAACATGTTACTTTATTTATCTAGAGAGAAATCTCTGATTTCTTTCTCTTTACTCCACCTCTCCACCTAAGAAAAGTTAAGTTGCCAAGTTATAGACACTGAGAAATTCTTATATCTAACATTACCAGAACACTTAAAGACTATATTGCAATTGTCTATATGCTTCTTGGTACAACCCACTAGATTGTAAATTCTAGGAAAATAGGCAATATTCTATCACCTAGGCATGGTACAGTGCCTGGTACTATTTTTGAATGAATGAAAAAAAATGAATGAAATATAACAGTCCTTTTAACCCTCATGGGTCACAGCATATTATTTTGAAATGAATGTATACTCTTTGGTTTATAAGTAACATATTTTTAATCTTTGGTTGGTTTCTCCCTGCTAAAGACTACAAATCTAGTCCTCTTAAGGAGTTGATTTGTGTTCAGAAAACATTTACTAATCTTAGTAGGAATCTTAGAAAAATAGTTCAGCTCAATTCAGTGCAGAATGGTTATCTCTAGATGATTTGAGCATGAAATTGTTTGGGAATACTCACTCCTCCCTGTCACTGGGATTCACAATTCCAAATGGCAATAAATATGAAGTACTTACCAGTTAAATTTTCAGTCACATTTTTCCTATGGTCAACTGGACTAGCCACTTGACTCTTTTCCTCATTTATTTTGAGTACATGCAATGATGCTGAACCTTTCCTTTCTTTCTGTGGCTCATCCAGATTTTTGGGCAAGAAAAAAAATGGTATGGAAGTAATAATAGAAAATAGTCCAGCGGTCAGGAAGCCAAGCCACCAAGCACCAACCCAACGGGAGTCCTTAGGAGTTATTCTTATACTGCCTATAATAAAGGATTAGGAGAAGACAGCAAAAAAATTACTTTAAAATGCAGTAATTCTGGGCAATAAGGGTAATAATGATTGTTCTCCTCCACAGAAACAAATAAACTATATTTTATCAGTTCTGAGACACTATTTTCTTTTTTTCACATGTTGACATCTCTTAAATCAGGATAAGCTTAAAACTTAATAATATCATATAATTGCTATTGTGCAGGAATCAATCATGTCATTGACTGAGCAGGTGTGAATTTGATGACTTTTCTGATGACATTAACTGGACAAAGTCATTATTGAACATTTAAGACTGCAAGCCACTGAGATACCAGTTATGGAAGGCATAAAAATCCTTGCTCTTGTCTGAAAACTATTGGCACCATCTGCTGAGGTTAAGAAAGCACCAACAACAAAATTGACAGAAGTTTGCAAGAAATTCTCAGAGCCAATCGTAGTGCCCCCCAACCTCACACAAGAGCCTGCATTTCCAACTCTTTGACAGCACAGAAGACGATATTGGTGAAGATATACACACAATGTAATCTGACCTTAAACATAACCAGCAGTGTTGTACTCTAAAATTCAGGGATAATTTAACTATTTTATTTAAATTATATTTTTCCTGAAGGCATGCATGAGCAAACATTATATCTAAACAAGTATAAATAAGCTATCTCAATAAGCATAAACATGCTAAGTAATAAGAAAGCACAATGCACATGTAACATACACACCATAGAAGTTTGACGCACAGTAATGGTGCCACCACACTTTGACCTATCAGAAAACTTAGTAACATGACAAAATGTTGACTTGATTTAAAACTGTATAGAAATAAATGTAGAAGAGGGGATGGGGGATAAGTGATGATGAAAAAATAAAAATTAAACTAAAAATAAATTATTTGTTCTATTTATTGGACTAGCTTTCAAGTATGCACAGATCAAAGTTTAAGATTGATTTACATGATCATATTGTTTCATAAAACTGATCACATTGTTTCATAAACAGCAACTCAGATTTTAGAATATGATTGGTAAGAAGAGTGACTTCATCTACGTGCTAAGTATTTATTCATGAAATGTCATTTTGATAACATTTTTCCTGTTCTATCACTGGTATACATATAGGAACTAGAAGTCATAATCTAGTTAAACAGGGCATGTCAAAGTGTTTTCCTTTTTTTTTTTTAAGATTTATTTACATTTAGAGAGAAGTGAAAGGAGGGAGAGAAACATCAATGTGAGAAAGGAACATCATTCGATTGCCTTTCAAACGCACCCAACTGTATGTGCCTTGGGGACTGAACCCACAACCCAGTCATGTGCCCTGACTGGGAATCAAACCAGCAACCTTTCAGTTTGCAGGACAATGCCTAACCAACTGAGCCACACTGGTCAAGGCAGTCAAAAAGTTTTCCATGGCTCACACACTGTCTTAAAAATTGAAAAAATGATACATAAGAATCTGGTTTTCCTTGAAAACCAATCACTAAATCTTGTCAATGCTGGATCGAAATTTCTGTATGAAAAGGATAGGTTGAGGCTGAGTAGTGCCTGTACTTTTTGGTGTGTGGGGAAGCCAGTTAGTCTACCATCAATTCTTCCCAGTTGACTACCACACCTGACACTCTTGACTCACTTAAGTTATCTCTTTGGCTCCTCTAGGCAATGGATTTTGCCAAAGTCTACTTTCTCACATGTTTATATCATACTCATGGCTGAATAAGAGAAGATATAATAAGGTCTAAACATTCAGTGGTAGAAATGGAATTAACAGGAATTCTAAAATATTGTGTGAGAAGTGACTTCTAATTTTAGAAAGAAGTTACAAAACTATTAACCTAAAGACTCTAACAATTTATTTCTGTACTCTTTGTGATAAAAAACAATGATGAATGTGGAGGTGAATGAGTAGAAATGTACAGAATGTGAACCTGAACTCTAATTTACATGTCCAAAATAGAAGATACAAAACTTTTCAACAGGTACTTGCTTAAGCTTTATATTATAAAACACTTTCAAGTTTGTGGTTATTGTTGGCCTACTGTGACGTCTACTCCATTTTGAAAATGAACTCTTTGATCTCCTTGGAGATCTATTCTAGTCCTGGTGGGATAGAAAATAAGATAAGTTTATTCACAAGCATGAATTACTTACTATATGTTAAGTCAGAAATCATCTTAATATGTCCTAAAAAAGATGGCAGGTGAGCCACAGATGTTCATGGCTCATTGTATGAGGGCTGTGATAAAGGCATGTTCTTGGTGACCAAAATAGAGGCACTTAACTTTGGGCTAGTTAAGAATGATTTCTTTAAAGAAAGTACAGTAAGTTTTCACTGAGCAGGAGCCACATTTTGGAAGAGACTTTAAGAACCATGTAAACAGAAAATGGAGAGAAGGTTTTCCAAGGGTAAATGCAGGGAGGTGATATTACAGGGCACAATTGAAAAATGTGCCAATTAGTTTACAATTATTTTGGATGAAGTAATCTTAAGCAAGTTTGTTCAAAAAAGATGTTTAGATTTATTATAGACTTAGTGGTAAAAGCCTGGTATAGACAGGAGCTGAACTTTATGTTTATTCTGGTTATTCATACATTTATTTCCTATTTGTAACTTTTGACAAAACATCACAAAGGACTATGAGTGTTAATTCAATTATCTGGAAGAACGATGTCCTGTACTGGAAAAGCATTGTTATGGTACCTTGTTTTGATTGTACTTACTCAGGTCTACATATCCAAAATCCACATATATTTTAGCAAAGAGAGATCCCAGTGTTAGGCCGAGGATTGGACCAATCATTGTGACTGCAAATAAACCACCTGAAATATTATAAAACAATTTTATCAGGTGCCAACAATTCATGGTTCTTTTCAATGTTTTTTAAAGTAACATTACACAATAACACTTTTAATAAATAAAAGAATGAATTAAGGAACACTATTATTTGAAGGGTGGACCCAAGTAATCAAAAATCTAATATTTTCTGTACATTACCTAAATGAAGAGAAGAATCTCCTTTTTTTGCAAAATCATCCAAGTAAGCAATCCCCAAGGGTTGTATGGGGGTTTCTCCAATTCCACGAAGCATGTTACCCATTAGGACAAGCAACCACAAATATGTTTCAGATTCCTTTTCCAAACCTTTGTAGACAAGTGAATGTTTTATTTTAATAATTAATTTTAGCATTTCTATTAGAAACTCAATCATGTTAATCCCTTAATTATTCCATTAAATATTTCTGCTTTTTTCTATTTATAAGTGATTCATATTCACTTTACAAAACTTGAAAATACAGAAAAGCACAAAGAAAACAAGGAAAACTTACCTGTAATCCAATCACACACACAGAGCCACTTCTAAGGTTTGTGTACTTGTATATCTTCCGCATTTTAGTGCAAATAAAAATATGTGTAATGTTCTTTATGTTCATTATACAGTTAAATGTCCAGTTCTTATTATATTCTACTTTTGTATTACTTAACACTATATTATGACAATTTCCCATGTTATTAAGAATTCTTGTATATAAGAATTTCAATTACAGTTTAAATTCAATACTACTTTGTATTAGTTTCAGGTGTACAACACAGTGGTTAGACAATCATATCCTTACCAGGTGATCCCCCAGATATTTTCAGTGCCTGCCTGGTACCGCAGACAGTTATCATAGTACTAGTGAATGTATGCCCAATGCCCTACTTTACATTCCTAAGACTACTTGGTAGCCACCAATTTGTACTTTTCAGTCCCTTCACCTTTCTCACCAAGACCCCTAGTCCTCCTCCCCTCTGGCAACCATTGGTCTGTTCTCTGAATCTATGTGCCTGTTTTAATTTTTGTTTGCTTTATTTTGTTCTTTAGATTCCACATGTAAGTGAAATCCTATGGGAATTGTTTTTCTCTGCCTGACTTATTTCAAGTAATATTTTAATGACAGCACAGTAGTATGCTAAAAAAAGTTTCACAATTTATTTAATCTCTTACTTGTCACTCACAAAACATTTCTAATTTTTTATTCTGTTAAATAGATCACCATATCTATAATTATAAATCAATCCTTGTACATACTGATTATTTTCTTAAGATAAATAAGTAAAAGTTAGAACTGTTGATTTAAGTAGAAATTCATAATTTTGTTCTATACTATATTGAAAATTAACCTCCAAAAAGAGAAATTTATATACTCCCAGTAACACATAAATGTGTCTTTTTCCTCCACTTTATTTATTTTTATTTTTAATCTTTTCCTAATAGGCATAAAAGTCTGTAATTAGTGTTAAAATTTGTAATTTTACATGTTATAATTCATAATTATGCATTTGTGTTATAACAGGTTAAATATTTAATTTATTTAATGGTGTAACAACTTGCCATTTTTCATAAATAGCAGTTACATTTTTATATATTTATGCCACTTCCCTCTCTATTTAAATGCATTCTTTGCCAATTTTCTCCCAAAATATTTTACTCTTTTTATTATTTCTAAAAGCTCTAAATATAGTATATTAATACTACTGTAAAAATGCAAACCCTTTTCTTATTTGTTTTAAATCAATTTTGCTAATCAATTTTACAGATGTAATTAAGTTGATACATTTTAGAATATTTATTAGTGACACTAATATTCACTAGTGTCAATTCAATTCTTACCTTTTTTCTCTACCTCAGGTGATGTTTTATTGAGTAACACACTTTGATTAGCTAAACAGGTCGATAAGCTTGATGTTGAATTCTCTGATGGATTAATATAGGTTTCTTTAGAGTACCTGTAACTGTAAGAACATCACTAGATTTAAATTTTTGTTTCACTACTGAGTATTTTCACTTTTCCCAGAAGTACAGAGAACATTTCCCCTTTACATATACCATTCTCTCCTACAAATCATCAGAATTCTCTTTGTCGCCTTCCTAGCCTTTATTTTAGCTGATGGGTAAAAGTGAAACTGGAGTGTTGGTGAGAAACATCATTCACTGCTCCCCAGGCAAGGGACAGTACACATTATTGTACCACCATCCTAGGAGGGCTTGTAATCTCACCAAGATACAAATATCTTGGTTTTACGCTTTTAAAAAAAACTTGCTGACTGTATCTCCTGTTTCTCTGACTCATCTTCAAAGATAGTCACAATTTAAACTATCTGATAAACTTTGTAACATTTAATAAACTTTAGAGCAGTGTTTTCTGAATCAATCTATAATACACACTAATTCATCTGTATTTTCTATCAATAATCTGTCTGAATTTTTTTTCATGGACACATGCACACACGCACACACACTATCATAAGCCTGACCCTTCAAAACTCAGCTTAAAAAGTTCTAATCCATTTTCATTTGATGAGGAAGACCTTAAGAACCGCAGCAATAGAATAGGGTCAAATGTTGATATACCTTATGAGCTCCAAGGGCAGCCTACAGTATGCTGAACATTATACTCAGATCCAAAAAACTAGAAATAAAACAGTCTTTGTACTTAGGGAATTTTACACTAAGATGAACATATATATGATAAAAGATACAACAAATGTAATACACTGGGTCCTGAGTTGTTATGAAGTAAAAGGGGACAATCATCTTTTGTTGAGGTCGTGGAGTGAGTAGATTCGAGAAGACTTCCCAGTGAGGATGACATGTGAGATGAATCTTGAATATGGATAAGAGTTTAATAGGCAGACAACAACATCAAAAAGTATTCAAGATTGCAGGAAACACCATGTACCAAGGTATGACATATGAGGACACATTTGGAAAACTGCAGGCCCAGAATGTGGCGTTCAGCCACAGGGAGCAGTGTGAAATGAAATGAGGAAGAGCATCAGGACCACATCATTGAGCAACCTGCGTATGAAAATGGATTTATAATAGATATTAATCCACAGATGAGAAGCATTCAATATTTTTGACTGTGACCAACAATACAAAATGCATTTTCTGTCACATTTGCAATACATACATGTGCACACATGTACACACTCACAAGTCTATGCACAACCAAACCAAAAGTTTCACAGAACAATATCTGTTCCTACTCACATTGTATATTCTTCTGTTCTATTTTATTCTACTTGATCTTATTGCATTATTGGTTTCAATAATTAATCTGAATCCATTTTTTGGTCCACTAGTGGTTTAGAATCTATAGTTTGAAAAACACTGTTCTAGAAAATTGGGAGTGTCAAACAGGAGTAAAATAACTAAATTTGTATTTTAAAATGAATACTCTAACATAAAATATGAGTTAGAATGGAGTTTGCACTGGAGACAAAATGTCCAGGCCAAGAAAGGAGAGAAGCCTCAAGTAGGTTGGGGACAATGGGGAGGAAAGGATGGTACAACTTGGACAGATAAGAGAGAATAAGCAAGGTTTGGTGACACCGGTCATTTGTGTTGAAATAAAGAAAGAATCTAAGATGAAGCCCTTGACTTTGGCTTGAGTTCCTTTGTGGCTAAATACAAATCACTGAAAGAATGCATATGAATGGTCAGAGCTGATTTTGGTACAGGGATGAATTTGGTTTGAGTATATGAGTATATGAGTGAGAAATGCCTGTAGAATGTTAAGTTGGACATAACCAGGAGGTAGTAGATTATATGGATCTTGAGTGTAAGAAAAAGTCACCACGTTTAGGGAATAGCTGCATTTAATGCATACAATCCACACGAATCATCTGGAATGAAAAGTAAAGGAGATTGAAGGGGGAACTTAGGGGATACTGACATTATGGTGTCAGCAGCAGAAAAAAAGTGTGGGTGTAATGAGGAAACACAAAGATACGAAATAAATCAAGAGAGAATGATACAATAAAGAGCAGAAAAAGTACCAGGAAGAAGAAAGTGCTTATGATGGTCAAGTATATGGGAAAGAAAAGGAATATGATAACCAAAGGCAATTGGCTTTGGCAATAAGTACTAGGTGATTAAGGACTTTAGTAGAAACTGCTCATTGTCTTGCTACACATTCTCCCCTCCTTCCATTGTAATAGAAGGTGGAATTTTTAGCTAGTAGCATGGTGGCCCGGAATAAAGTCTATTTTCCCCATGTATTTATATCTGCATGGTGTAAAATGTAATCAAGTTCTGGGCAATATGAAGTCAGAAGAAGTGATATGCTTCCAAAAATATTCTCTAAGCCCCGGGCTGTGTGTGTTCTGTTTCTTCTGCTTACTCTTCCCTCCTCCTGTCCTGTAGCCTGGAACAACAATGCCATGATCTGGGCCATTGTGTCGGGGCTATGCAAGACAGAGCAATGTGACAAAAGCAAGTAGCAACTTACTACCCTGGGAAAGCTATATTAACTTTTTATGTAAAAAAAATAAGCTTCCATCTTATTTAAGTCATCCCTATTTTAGAGTTTCTGTCATTGATATTTGACTCTGATGTTAACTCAACAGTCACCTCAGGAAGGACTCTCTCAATGGATGTGGTAATGGGAACACCCATATGGTAGTAGGTTGAGTGAGGAAGTTTATTAAATATACAACATAATAAATACATAGGTAAAGCCATGAAATATATATGTTATACTTCTATAAAGTATGACTATAAAAAGGCATAGAGATTTTTTTTATTTCTGATGACACTGTATAACTTAATCAATGCTATTCATATTTCAGATTTAGTCAAAGCTACGTGGATAGAGCAGTTATTATTACATTAAATAATAATGACAATAACAATGAATTATTATTAGTGAAAGTAACACTAATGAGTTATTATAACATTAAAAAGTAAACTTTATTTCTACATATACTTTGTGGGTATTCTTCCAAAAGATGACTGCTTATTTAAAAGGATACAATGAAATTTTATTATTAACTTACAAGTAAAGGGCAGTTAATGGCACAGAGCCGTTTAACACTTACTGGCCCATGAAGAAATGTGGTAAAGCAGTCACAATACTTCCAATACCCATAATGAGGCAACCGATTCCAATTATCCTTGGTCTGTGTAGTTTGGATCCAAAGTAGCTCACAAATAAAATCACAAGCAAATTTCCTAGAAAGAGGCCAAAATTATTTTAATATGATTCACTCTAGCAAATCCTGAGTCCAACTTTGTGTTCAGTAGAATAGAAGGCCCTGGAATGAATACAAACAGAGCACAGGACATGGTACTTTCCCTCAAAGGTTGTGCAATTTATTGAGAAAATGAAACTCACATTAAACCACTCACTGTAAAGTTTTATGATATTAATAGTAAATAGTATAGGTTTCAAATACAAAAGAAAGCACTTGACTTACTTGGCAATATTAGTGAAGTAGAACTTTACTGAAGAATTTGGAGTTAACTGGATAGTATTAGGATGAAGAAAAATGGAGAAAATCTCTGACCTGAGAGAAAGGTCTTTATTCATGCATCTATGCATTCACTCTAGCATTCTTTAAACTCCAGTTAAGTACCTGCCACGGTGTTAGGATCCAGAAATATAAAAAAAAGAATAAACCCTGGTATCTGTCCTCAATGTACTTAGATAGAAGTAATAAAAATACACAAATAGAGGAGCTGTTATACCACAGAAAGGGGGAGCTGAAGTTAAGTAAGGGTTTTGGAAGTTTTCTGGAGGAGAGGCCACTTGAGATTTAATGTTGGGTATGGATTATTTACATTAAAAAGGGTGAGAAGAGCATTCCAAGGGAAGGGAGTCACGACCAATTCTGATCACACATGTATAATAACAAACAACAATCAAGAATTACTGAATGATGGAAAAGACAGCATGAAACAAGAGCACCAGAATGAACTGGCAGATAATAAAAGAATAGTAAAGTATTTACATTAAAAGTATTATAAAAATGTACATGTTGGGACCTGGTATGATGAGAGATAGCATCAAAAAATATTGTTAAACATAAAGATAAAAAGATACAATTTTATAAAGAATAACTTGAAAAGCAGACTGAAAATTTAATATTCATCTTATATACATTTAAGAAGAAAATAAATGGAAAGAAATAAATGTAAAAATATAAAATAAATTCCTGAGCTAAAGGAAGGCTTAAGTATTCAGATGACAATTTCTACATTTCTCCACCACAAATAATATAAAAGCAATATTCCTGGGTACATGGTAAAATTTCTGAAACTCATGGATAAAGAGTAGGTATCTCTCAGTGAGTGACAATGATACTGGTAATGATTTTTCTTGTGCAACATTAGGTGTTACAGTAGACAAATGTTTTAAATGTTCTGAGAAAAAAGATTTTTCACTTTTAATCACACTCAGACATTATCACTTGAATATGAGACTGAAGTAAATACACTTTCTAATAAGCAAAATGCCCAGAAAACTTCATGTGTTTATTTCTGGAAAAAAAAAAACAACTATGCAAAAATAATCTTCAGAAAAAATAAATGTAAAATTTAAGTCATGAAAACCAGGGAACAGTGGTAAGCAAAGAAACAAATTTTAGCAAAAATATTGAGAATAAATTTCTCAATAAAAAGAGACATACAATAAATTAAAATTTAAAGCTAATAACAGATTAATATTAAAATTCTAAATGGCTTCATTAAAGCAGGGAGGTGAAAAAGTGAAGGGTACTTTAGGGTATAAAATCTTTTGAATCATGAAAAGTCAGAATCACAACAGAAACATAGATGGCCTTCCTTTACACGATAATTTTTTAAATACCCAATATCTAAATATATTTTAAATAAAATTAAAAGATAAGTAACACATTGTAGAAAATATTTGTACTCTATACAACAGACATAATTTTTGAGTCCTTTTCAGTTATTAAACAGTGAAAAAAGAGAAAAAATGGACAGAGGTAATGAGCTACCAATTTATAAGAGAAAATAATGTTGGACAATCTTACAAAACCTCACCATTATGAGAGATATCCAAGTCAAAATGGAGACAACAAAGCAACACATTTGAGGTCCTAAAGAAAAAGAGTTTTAACTCCAAATTTTATATCCAGTTAAACAGTAGAAACTTAACACAGGTTGCTCTAAAGCTGTTTCTCCTTCCTCAAATCATCAGAATCAGAATCCTCTCTCCAACCTTTTTTTGAAACTTTTTTTTTTTTTTTGCCTTAGGGAATCTTGAGAGAGGGCAGGTAAAGCCCTGAAAACTATTTGTTTGCAAGTAATGAGATTGTGTAGACCAGGGTGTTTCATCATTGGCTCTAGGGATGTTTTGGGATGGATAATTCTTTGTTGTGTGGACGGTCCTGTGCATTGTGGGATGTTCAGCAGCATCCTTGGCCTCTACTGCGAAACGCATCGGCAAACCCCCTTCTCTCAGTCAAGACAAGGGGAAGGGCCTTCAGATATCGCCAAACAGACCCTGGGGTGGGGGGCAAATTCATCTCTGGTTGAGAACCAGTGGTGTAGAGAGTGTATGAATAGTTTTTACCTCTGCAAATCTGGTTACCAAGTAGTAATCAAAAGAGAAATAAAAATTACCAATTTCAAAGCTTCCATCAATTATGCCAACAACAGAGGATGATAAGTCGAATCTCCTTTCTATTTGGGTGATGGAACTTTTCATGATCATGCCGCCCATTGCCTTAGCGATAAAGCTGAGTGAGAGGGCTGCTAAGAAAGTCTAAGAGAGAGCAGGAAAAGGGAAAGTGCTTAGTCACAGAAATACATATTTATATACTCATAGAATTAAAGTAGCTTTTCTTCTTTACTTAAAATATGATTTTATCATATCTACCTACCTTTCTTCTGCACCATTTGGCACTTCTTAGCCCTTTGAATGTTGGCGTCGCTATGGTGATAAAGCACCATTTTCTAACGTGATTACATCAGATTAATAGAGCAGTACAGATCATATTTCTAATTGGTGTTATTAGCTGATGTATGAAAAAACTAGATAATGTCTGAGATGGCCATGAGATAAGCTATTATTTATTTCCAAGTGAATAGTGTGGGCTAACTTTGACGACAATGGCTAGATATTCTCAAACATAGCAAGCCAGCTGGCACACAGAAATCTTTTCATTTATGAAACATCACTATTATTGGAGCAATCCAAATTAAGAAGAAAACAAAGCAATATATTCAATGTTCTAAAACAGAGTTTAACATCAGTGATTACAGGTATTGTATTTTCAATTTCACTTTAACAAAATTTATTGACATCCTTTTGACAGTCCACATTCATATCTGTAAGTAAATTTCTTTTGCTTCTAGTATGAAAATCTAAGCTTGTTATGAACTGCACATGGGCCTTCCCCACCCAGTTCATGGAGCCTTCATAGAGCTGGCTTTTCTCTCTCTCTCTGCCATGTGAAGACCAAGGAAAAAACATAACTATCTGAAAACAAAAAGAGGGCTCTCACTGGAACCCAACCATGTCTGCACCCTGATCTCAGGCTTCCAATCCCCAGAACTGTGAGAAATAAATTTAACTTGTTTAAGCCACTGAGTCTCTGGTATTGTTTTTTTCCTTTTTTTAATAGAAGGCCATGCTGACTTAGACAAACAGTTATCAAAGAATGAAATACAAAAGTAGAAAGATATCCAAACAAATTTAACTATGCAGGTACGAGGAAGGAAAAAAACACATAGGAGAACGTTAAATTTTTCCAATGAAGTGAAACAAAAATTATGAAGATTTTCAAGGGAAGTCAATTCTGACAATCATAGAATTATATACAACCTTACACCATAGAACAAAAATGAAAAATGTTTGGGTTCTAATCATTTCAAAAATCATGTTATTGGTGCCAGAAAAAGAAAAGAAAACATATGGTGGGGCAAAGGTAGGTTTACTGTTGTGAGTACGTGAAACACAGAGTTTGTTCTTGAATTAGCATTTATTAATCACTGTATTGTCTCCAGACAAACAAGTGTAAACCTGCTTTTCCCCACCCTGTAGGTATGGGAGTGAGGTCAGCAAAATGGCAGAATCAAAAGCCCTCACCCTTCTTCCCCCAAGGAGACATGGGTTTAAAAACAACAAACCGAACAAATGCCTCTGTGAGAAATGCATAAATCAGTTAAAATATTTCTGCATCGTAGCCAGTGTGAAGCCAATTGTATGAAAGCCCAGGAGGAAAATTTGTGACCTCTCAACTCTCCGACCAGAGCATTCTGCCCCGCAAGCGCAAGCAGGGTTGGTACAATTGGGACAACATTTCCAACTCCTGTGTTTTCCCTGCAGAGAGAAAAAAACAAAAAACAAAAAACAGTAGAACTTATGTCCAACGTCCTGACTGGAAGGGGTTTAGCTGAGGAACTAATGTATCCTAGCACTGAGAGGAGTGAGTTTCTTCTAGGTTGAGGGTTTCAAACAATAAAAAAATCACTCAGGAGAACCTGCAGTACCAAAGGTTGACACTAGATGGAGCGCCAGTATTGTGATTTAACTATAATACCAGCGAGGCTGTAGTATCTTAGACAAGACACCAGGGGAAGCTTCTAAGTGAAAACCAGCAAATCTCTTCAAATAACTCAAAGAAGACCTACACATAGAAAAAGCTTGGGAGGTCTCCAGAATTGCGTGACTAAGTAGTGAAAAATCATCTCTATAGAAAACCAGACAACAAATTCTGAAAGAGTTGGTTGGTTAATCAATTGCCAAAATTCCAACAAAAAGTAACAAGACATAACAAGAAAAAGGGAACCAAAACACGTTTAAAGAAACATGTTAAATCTCAGAAATTTCCCTTAGAGAAACAAAGATGTATGAATTGTCATAAAGAGTTCAAATTTACCATCATAAGTATGTTTAGAGAATTAAAGGCAGTACAGATGTATACCTAATTGAAAAATATATTTTTTAAATTATGCAAAAACAAAATAAGAATATTAACAAAGAAATAGAAACTATGAAGATGGACCACAGAGAAATTATGGAACTGAGAAACACATTACTTGAATTGAAAACTTCACTGAATAGTAAATTTGACCAGACAGAAAAATGAGTTAAAAAACTCAGAGACTCAGTCAGGGGGCTGAGCAGACTCATGGGACACCCTCAAGCGGAAAGGCACATGCATTAGGAGGGAACCAGCAGAAGAAAGAGAGGAAGGGGCAGAGAAATTATTTGAAGATGTAGTAACAGTAAAACTTCCCCCAAACCTGAGGAGAAATTTACCTACAAATTCAGTAAGTTGAAACAACTCTCTCCAGGATACAGGTAATGAGACTTCAAGACACATCATAATAAAGCTGTTGAGAGTCACAGACGAAGACAAAGTCTTGGGAGCAGTAACAGAAAACTGACTCCTCACAAGGGAAATCCCATTAGATTATCATCAGATTTCTCAGCAAAAACCTTGCAGGCTAAAAGGGAGTGGGATGAAATATGCAAAGTACTCAAGAAAGAAGACTGCTAACTAAGAATATTATATCCAGCAAAACTGTCCTTAAGCAACAGAGGAGAAATCCAGGCTTTCCTGGATAAGAAATGCTAAGGGAATTCATCACCAGTAGATCTGCCCTACAAGAAACACTGATGGGAATCCTACAAGTTAAAGTGAATGGATGATTAACAAAACAAATACCAAATTATAAAATTTCCCAGTAAAGGAAATATAGGGTGGAACAAATGTGGTTTTATAGTTGTCCATATGGAAAATAATACAATAATTAATAAATAATAGTACAGGAATAAACTGTGTTTTGCATCTCACAACTATAAACCTACTTTTGCCTCACCTTGTACAGAACTCACATACATGGGATCAGAGCCCTTATAAAAGAAATCCAGAGAACTCTCATGCCTTGCTCAACACATAAAGACACAATGAGAAGACAGCCATTCATGAACCAAGAAGTGGACCATCACCAGATACCTATTCTGCCAGCACCTTGAGTGTATATTTTCTAGCCTCCAGAACTGTGAGAAATAAATATTTGTTGTTTAAGCTACCCAGCCCATGATATTTTTGTTATAGCTGCCCAAACAGGTAGAAAAAGATATTCCATGCAAACAAGAACCTAACGAGATCAGTGGTAGCCATGATTATATAAGACAAAATAGGCTTTAAGACAAAAACTGTCAGAAGGAAAAAAAGGAAATTACATAATGATAGAGTCAGTTCATTAGGAATATATAATTATAAATATACATGCATCTAACATTAGAACACCCAAATATGTCAAATATTGAGAGAAACACAATAAGAGTAAGAGATTCATACTATGCTTTCAATATGAACAACCAGTCAGAAAATCAATAAGGAATCACTGGACTTAACAGCAGTTAGGTATATACAGAACACTCCACCCAACAACAGAAGAATATACATTTTTCTCAAGTACGAATGAAACATTCTCCAAGATAGACTATGTGTTAGGCCACTAAACAATCTTACCAAATATAATAAGATTGAAATCATGTAATATCTCTTTTCTGACCATAACGGAGTGAAAGTAGAAATCAATAGCAGGAGGAACACAGGAAAACCTACAAATATGTGGAAATCAACAACATGCTCTTAAACAAACTATGGATCAAAAAAAGAATTATGAAGAAAATTAGAAAATATTTGAAGACAAATGGAACTGAAAATACAACATATCAAACCACATAGGATGGATGAAAGCAGCGTTAAGGGGAAAGTTTATAGGAACTAATGATTGTATCAACAATAAAGATCTCAAATCAACAACCTGAACTTGCACTTCAAGGACCCAGAAAAAGAAGAACAAACTAAACCCAAAGTTATCAGAAGGAAATAATAAAGATTAGAGATAAATGAAAAAGTTAATAGAAACAATTAAGGAAACTAAGAATTGATTTTGAAGAGATCAATAAAATTGACTCTTACTAGATTAACTAAAAGAGAAGATTCAAATAGCTAGCATTATAAATAAAAGAGGAAACATTACAAATGATATCACAGAGATAAAATAAATTATGAGACTACTATGAACAATTATATACCAACAAATTGGGCAATCTTAAGAAATGAATAAATTAGTAGAAACATACAGCCTACCAAGACTGAATCATGAAGAAATCAAAAACCTAAATAGATGTATATCTAATGAGAAGATTGAAGCAATAATCAAGAAACTTGCAACAAAGAAAGCCCAGGACCAGATGGCTTTACTGGAAATTCTATCAAACCCTCAGGAAAGGAAAATGAATGCTAATCTTTCTCAGACTCCTCCAAAGGATGAATGAGGAGAAAACACTTCAGAATTCATCTTACCAGGCCACATTACCTTGACATCAAAGCCAGATAAAGACATTACAAGAAAACTACAGATCAATATCCCTGATGAATATTGATGGAAAAATCCTCAACAAAATCCTAGCAGACAGAACCCAACCACACCAAAGGGATCATACACTCGACCAGGTGGAATTTATACCAGATATGCACACCTGGTGCAACATTGGAAAGTCCACTAACCAGATGGGTTCCTGGTTAGTGGAACCCATCACATGATCAAAATGAAAGACGAAACCACATGCTCATATCAACAGATGCGGAAAAAGCATGTGATAGAATTCAACACTTTTTGATGATAAAATCAGTCAACAAATTAGGAATAGAAGGAAGTACCTCAACATAACAAAGGCCATATATGAAAAGCCCGCAGTTGACACAGTGGTGAAGTACTGAGAGCTTTTCCTCTAAGCTCAGGGAGAAGGCAAGTCCGCTAACTCTCTCCTCTTCTACTCAGTACAGTTAGTGCTGCAAGTTCTAGCCAGAGTAACTAGACAAGAAAAGTAAATAAACTGTATACAGTTTATAAAGGAAGAAGTAAAACTGTCCTTCTTTCCAGATGACATGGTCTCATATACAGAAAATTCTAAAGACTCCACAAAGAACTAATAAATTAATTCAGTAAAGATGCAGAATGCAAAATCAACATTCAGAAAGTTGCATTTCTATACAAATCAGTTGCATTTCTATGCATTAACAACACATTATCTGAAAGGAAATTACTAAAATAGTCATTTACATGGGAAAAATCGAGAAGTCTAATGATGCCAAGTAATGGAGAGAATGTGTATCCTGACTTTCTCTTATAAGTTCCTGGTGATCACAGAAAGTAGTGTGACCACTTAAATAACAATTTGTCATTATCTTGTAAAATTGAATATTTATATACTCTATGTTCTAGCAATTTAAGTCAAAGATATTGGCAAGAAAAACTCTGGGTATACCAGGAGATGTGCATGAGAATATTCATACTAACATTATTTATAACATAAAATCCCTGAAAACAACCTGCCCATAGAGAAATAAATTATTGTATATTCACGTAATAACATAAATAGCATTAAAAATACACTAACTACTTCTGTATGAGTAAACATTTTTATAAGTAAGCATGTATACATTCACAAAGGTTTGGGAGATTAGGGCCAGTATTCTGCCTACCTATGAATATATTAGGTAGCATGCAAAGGGATATGACTTCAAAGAGGTTATACTAAATTATCCTTGTTGACCGAATGTAATCACAAGAGTTTTTCAAACATGTAAGAGGGAGGCAGAAGGGTCAGTGTTAATGTGAGAAACACTTGATTGACCAATGGTTTTGAATATGGAAGAGGGCTGAGTCAAGAGCTTCCGGCAGCCTCTAGAAGTTGCAAAAGGCAGAGACATAGATTGTCTCTAAGAGGGCATCCTGGAAGGCACACACAGCCCACCAACTCCTTGATTTTAGTCCAGCAAGTCCCATTTCAGATTTCTTAACTTTAGAACTCTAACAGAACTGTAATAAGTTTGTGTTTTAAGCCATGAAGGGTACACACACACACACCACACACACAGGCATGTGTGTGTTGGTGTACCAGTGGTGGTAAGTGCTATAAAATCGATTTGATTAAAAAGTCATGGACAGGAAATGCTATTTTTTAAAAAAAATAATGAAGTCTCAATCCTCAGCAAGAGAGAAGACTTTTCTTTTTAAAAGATTTTATTTATTTATTTTTAGAGAGTGGGGAAAGTGTGAGAGGGAGAGAAACATCAATGTGTGGTTGCCTCTTCCACTCCCCCTACTGGGGGCCTGGCTCACAACCCCGGCAAGAGCCCTGACTGGGAATCAAACCAGCGATGCTTTGGTTCACAGGCCGATGTTCAGTCCACTGAGGCACAGAAGCCAGGGCAGGGGAAGCTGTTTTATATGGCATGGTCAGGCATGAGGTAGTGTTTAAACAGAGATCTGAATGAGATGGAAGAGCAAGATATCTGAAAGTAGAATATTTCAGAAGAGGAAACAGCAGGTACACATTTCTCCAAGTAAGAAGCATGCTTGGCATTTTTGAGAAACAGTGAACAGGCTGATATGGCTGGAGGAAGGCAAACCAGAGGAAAACTATGAAACATAAAAACTGTTGGTTAATAGGAGGTAATCATTCTGACTACTTCTGCAGGGGGAGTGGGAATAAAGGCAGAAAGGGGGAACTTTTTACTTTTGCCCTATTATCTTTATTTTTGGATGATGGTGCATTATTTTTGTCTTGTTAAAGAATTTTCACTACAACATAGAGGTTCCAGAAATCTGAAGTGCAGAAATGACAAGTACAAAGATGAAAGATCTTCTGGTAGGGTGTCTCTAATTTAGTTTGTTGGGTTCAAAAAATGAGGGAAAGAGGGTAAGAAAGAATCAAACAATACTTGTGTTATTTAGAAGTCTCTTTTATATAGTTGCACCTACAGCCTGAACCCACCGAGTCTGTCTGTGCATGTCAGTAACAAGTGTGTCCATGAGAAATACTTGACTGACCACTAGTATAGAATGAGGAAGACCATTGAATAGTCTACTTACAAATCCCTGCTTACCAGAACCTCTTGAGGGCACTAATGTTATGAACTTGGGGACCTTGAGGAAGTCATTTGCCTTCTCTGCATCCAAGTTTTTTTCATCTATAAAAGGGAGGTAATAACATCTAGCTGACAGAATTGTGGTAAGAAATTATGGTAAAAATCTAAGAAGTAAATACAAGTAAAACACTAGGAGAGTGTGTGGCATATAGTAAGTGTTCCATACATTTTAGCTATTATTATTATTACTCCCCTAATCTTTCATTATTGGCCTTCAATTAACAAACTTTATACATACTGCTAATTTCTAACTTTTCTCTAAATACACTACAAGGGACCACTCTGTTCATTTGCCTCAGCCAGTTTGCTGTCGCCTCGCTGTGCACCCACAAATAAAATCTCTGTAACACTCAATGTTTAAAAACAGAAATAATCCATCATACAATATCATCCACAAACAATAGAATGTAACACAGTTGCATTTTACCAATACCTTTTCACTGTGATTGCCAGTCTGCTTAAGTGTTATTCAAATATTTCATCAGAACAGAGTTTACCAGTAATCTCTAAAAACAAACAGAATTTATGTTCCCTGTACAAAGTTGAAAGGGACCTTGTATAATATTGCTGCAATTGAGACTGATCTCTACGGTCTTTTTATTTAGCTAGATAAGAGAACAAATTTGAGGCAAATTCCAAAAACATGAGCAAAAATCAGGCTTTTTTGTGGTCATGATTTTTTATTTCCTTAAGATTTCCCTAAGTGGTTTTAAAGGCTTTCTGATTTGGGTTCAAGGGTTTCTGATGTCCAAGCAAGATGATTTGAGGCAAAGTTCAAATTTTCTTGCCTTGGTGTCTTCAACACTATATTCTAGGAGTATTCTTTTGTGTCTGTGAAAATTCCTGATATAGTCTATAAAATTTAGTGTCTCACAGTTTTGTGAAAAAAGCAAGAGAAATGATTATTACTTTTATAAACTTGCATATAGAAAAATTAAATGGCTTTTCTAAGTCAGCAACTAGGTCTCTGGGCCAGGGATTTCTTTGATTGTTATTGCAGATCTCTTTTCCATCAGAAAATATTTAAATTATTAAAATAAACAATGCTTTTCTCAAGAAAATTAAATAGGTCAAGAGTGATTCACAAGACTGATGAATATTCTGTGTTTACAAGTCAATTCTAAGACTATTTTTACATATTATCCATTCTACAACAACTTCTCTTATTTTAATCACATTTATAAACATCTTTGGTCCAGTAAGAACCAAAGAGAATACATGAAATTATTTCTAAATATTTAACATTAATAAACTCTTAGCCATCAGAAATATCACCAAAAATATACCTTTTTAAGATTTCACATTGATTTAAATCAATATATGGATCTTGATTTAAATGGATCTGTTAATATTTCAATGTATGCTTCAGTTAAAAACTCTAATTTGAATTTAATGGCCTTTTTAAAAAAACTGGTTGCTTTTCCTTTAAGGAAGAAAATCCTTCCCTTCACTGACTTTGGCTGGAAAACATGAAAGCCATTTCACCTTGAAGCTGTCCCAGCATCTCCTCCTCCTTTTCCTGGATGGCGGTGCCTTTGCCGCCTTATTCAAAGGCTGATTTGGGTCCATCATTGAACTATTCATGTCATGTGACTATTTTCAGTTGTTGCAGATGTTTTGTTCAAAATGATGACCTATTTAGGGAGAAAAAAATGTAGCATATTTCACTTTGACAATATACAATTCGGAAATGAGAAAAGCCACAAGATCAACATCAATCAATCCAGGAGCCCACTAATATTCCTTGAGAGGCAACTGTGTCCTGAGCACGGGGCCGAGTAAATGCCTGACACACATAGAAAACACCCAGAGCCCAAGCTTCAGGGAGATTATATTTCAGTTTAAAAGAGAAACATATGGAAATAAAATGGAAACAACAAATAAATAACATACAATCCCACAGTAGGTTAGGCGAGCAAAATTTTTAAAATAGAGAAATAACATTAAAATATATTTTTTATATATCTACATTATAAGATTTAGGAAGGCAAGTATGTATTTAATTTATCTTCATAACTTTACAAAGCATCAGGCAGCACCTTGCACATGGGACAGGGTCAGAATGGGTGGGAACATAATGTGACCAATTGTAGTTGTGACCAATTATGACCAATTGTAAGGTTTCCTGGAGGCGTACCTCTGGAGCTGGGCTTGGAGAATTGCTAGAGCTTGGATTTGTTAAAACAAAACAAAACAAAACAAAACAGTATAGTGTAAGGAATTCTCAGACAGTCTCTGGCCATACTTGAGATTACTGCCATCACAATCCTACCTTATTTTAACTTTGTTAATTTATTTTTGAAAAGACTACTTAGGACTATAGTTGAAAGTACAAAAGATCAAAAAGACGTATGCATATATTAAAACTTCTTCCTCTAACCCACATTCCCCCAGCATCTGATTTCTCTTTCTGAGGACTAATATTATCAGCTTTTAGTGAGTCTTACCTGGAAATATATTTCTAAAATTAAACAAATAATATTTTCTTTCTTTTTTAACTCTACAGCAGCATGCCATTAACACTGTTCTCTACCTTTTACCCTGTTTCATATACTTCATTTTATATTAACAAATGGCCTCCTCAGTTTTCTTATGGTTACAGGTTATCGCATTGTCTATGGTATAACTAGCTAGTTGCATGTTAATAAATATTTATTTAGGTTGTACCTAATTATTTCACATTAGAAAACTTTACTAATATGCCATTTTATTTATGTGCAATCGTAGCTGTGGGATAAAGCCTGACAGGAGTTTTGAAGTCAAAGTGTAAGAGGAATTAGAATTTTAAGAGTGATTAATCCACTAATATAAAAACTGGTAAAATGAGTCAACTTGCTTAGATTTGCTCTTTTATATGGATTAGTGAGTTCTTCACAGAGGTTTAGAAAAAGGAATCCTGTTTATATATGTGTATATAATACACATGTATGTATCTAAAATAACTATTCTATGTAGTAACACACATAAGCACAGATACGTGATTATTGATAGGGCCTTAATGAAACAGTGTATTAAAACCTGTTCTGTGTAAAGTTGATTCTCATTGCTTGCGGTGGTCCTGTTCTAACAGTTGCTGCAAGCACTGAATTAGCAAACGCTGAGCGTTGCTCGGAAGGGCAAGGCAGGGCCACGTTCCAGTGTCAACGCATTTTCATCAACCGATCAATATATAACCTCGTCTCACATGTGCTTCTGTTTAAAGATACCTGATTGCATTTACTTTGTTGATCCGTTAATGTTGACTTTGTGGCCAACGGCACTCTGGAGCTGCTGCCTGAGCAAGGGTATGTAACATTTTTTTGGTCAGGCACATCATGCCCTTCTTTGCCTCGGAACAGTGGCCACACGTGGCCACTGCGCTATGGAGCTGTTCCAACAGCAGAATCACCAGCCGAAAGTACAAATGTATGGCACTAGGTAGGCTACGGAAAGGCTCCCTGCTTGCAGCCTGAGAGCAGAGCCACACCTTGTTTGACCTCGGCTGGGAACACGTGTGTTAGACCACTCAAATTTTTACCACTCTTTGCAGGATTGATTTTGGGGTTAAAAATAAATTTTAGTGAGTTGGCAAATTTGCAGTCCCAGAATCCACAAATAATGAGCATCGGCTATAATGAGCATCGCTTATTTTCTTCAATAAGGATTTATTCATTCCTTACATTATAAATATATAAAGACCACAAATATATATATATACACACACACATAAAATGTATATGTATTGAATAATGTGTAAATATAGAAACGATAACTAAAATATTATCACTTTTGTATACTTAAATGTATATAACACAGGCATGACCGCGGAAACTCATACCTACGTACATCTAAGTGACTCTTGGTTTTTATTTCACTTTTTGCATGTGCTCCATACGTGCCTCTGCCTGTGCCCTCCCTGAGTGAAGTGAGGAGAAAATCAATAGTTTGGTGGTCCCAAAGTCATAAGCAGCCTTTTAATAAATTTCGTGTCATTTTATTCATGAATACCTCTTCCAGTATCTTCTCTCAGGATTTCTATGTTAGAAAATGTCTCAGCACTGTATTCTATCATTATAAATCTCTATGAATAATTTGCAAACTTCAAGTTTCTATGAGGTTGATTCTTTTTGGCTAGTGAACCAGTATTTTTTTAATATTATTTGTACTGTATTTTTTCTGTTACCATTTATCCCCCCATACCATCTTCCACCTCCATCCTTCACCGCCCCCCCCCCCAGCATCCTGCAATCACCACACTGTTGTCTGTGTCCATGAGTTCTTATGAACAGATATTCTTGAACACTATTATCTCACCACGCTTAGCCCTGCTTCTTGCAATTAGTCAAATTATGATTATCCTGTCTCCCAGCATTTCCAATATCCAATGCATAGTTTAGGTGTGCTCAGAATCTTTCAGAGGTTCCTTGTACCATACAAAATAAAAATCACGCTTCCAATTTGAGATTCTTCACTAACCTAACTCATCTCTTGTTAGTCTCATTTCCCAAGTGCACCACCCACAAGCCCCTTCAGCCCTAGGGAACCACTGTCGCCCGCCCCCCCCCCCGCCCCCCTGCAAAAGAGACCATTCTCAGTTCTCTGAATGTTTTCTGAGCCTGTAAGATTCTTCCTCATCTCTCAGTTGTGAAGCTCCCTCAAGTCACCGCTGGCACACACTTCCCCAACTGAAACCACCTCTCCCACACTGCTGGCTGCTCCCTGGAGAACAGACCTTGTAGTGCAGTCATCACTCTTCCTGCATTTCCACAACTTTCCCCTTTCTCTCCTAGATACTGGGAGGAAAAAAAAATCCAGAAGAAAAAAGTGGGAAATGCAGGGACCTTTACCCTCATTTCTTAGAAATTAAACTGTAGTAAGTAACTTCAAAGCAATGAGAAAGTTGGGCTATCAATATAGGCTTGACTCTAACACACTTTCCACGTCAGTGCGGCACTTGAAGCCTGACTTGGAGACATTTTAACAAAGTTTTCTATGGACATATTTTTTTCTGAGAGTTTCAAGCATGTGACATATACATGCATTTGGGGGACCCACTGTGTTTATAAGACAGTACCACAAGCATCTAGTCAGAGCACTGCATCCCCTCCCTGACCAGAACTGCCCAGTTCTGCCAGGGTTGATTGGGGTGGAGTGGTGAGCAGAATCTCACTAGCCTCTGCTTATCGGTGTACAGCATTTACTGTTGGAGGGATAATAGGAAAATCTGTGCAAGCAAATGGCTCAATTTGTACCATGTACCTGGGAAACAGAGGAGGAGGAAAGAGGAACAGCATTTACGAACTTCTTAGCCCTTTCATGGGGGACTTCCCCCATCCTCCACTGTGGTGATAACAACTATCTTCTTAGAGCAGCCACCTCCCTGAATGGGAGAAGGAAACTAACCTTTACAGATCCTTGGTTCTATCAGGATCTGTGCGGAGCAGATTTTTTCTTTTATTCAGAGATAAAACTACCTAGAAAACTCTTTTCCCTCACCTTGAGACAAACTGGAGTTGAAAAGAAGGAAATGAGAGGTGAGCAAGCGACATTGAGACACCTTCCATTTGATATTGGTCAGCTAACTCTGCACCCCACATTATACAGTAAAGATGGAATCAAAGAAATAGGGGTGTCTAATCATTTCATGTAGTTAGTGACAATAATTGCCTTGTAACATATTTTAAGAAAGTAACCAGGGGTCCATTTTTCAGCCTTGAAGTTTCAGTTGTCTAGAAAGTATTGGGAACATATTTTTAAACTTTACATTTAAATAGTAAATGTCTGATTGTATTTTTAATGGTATACAAGCCAGAGTCTCATCTATGTCCAGAAGGGACATTGAATAGCTTTTAAGAGCTTAGAACATAAGGGTGCAGAAGACACAGGAATTAAGTGTATAACATTTATCATGTCCATCAAAATATTTTGTCTTCAAAATTTGTGGAATGTTCTCACATAAAAAATCCTGAAATGGAAGAATCTTAAAGGTTCTTACCTGAACTCAGAATCCCACAGCAGCATCAGGAAGACCAGCCCTTTACCTGTTGTTAGTCTGTTTTTAAATAGCGAGCTGGCTTTTCTTTTTTATCAGTACAATGATGATTAACCATCAGGTCATTGTCCAAGGCAGATAGAAGAAAATTAACTAGCTATTCTAAGAGTCTGTTTCAGACTCCTGTATTTTAAAGATTATGCTTGTGAGAATTTATAAACTATTTTTCTGTAAAAGTTCAATTATTAAGTTTCTAAGAATAACTTATATTTGCCTAAAAAATTAAGTTAGCTGCATAAGATTTTTTCCCCTTAAATAAACAAATACAACAGATTATCCAAGGTAGTTAAAACCCTTCCAAATAGAAAACAGTTCAAGGCCTTTAAAAAAAACGTCCGCAGGCTACTTTAGTATTCATAGGATAAAGTACACTTTTGGCTTGATCCCGGAGGCAGCTCTGACATGATATGGGCAGATGCTGGATGCCTCTTATGAAATAGTAAAGCAACGATTAATTAAAAGATAGGTCTTCAAGTGACAGAATTTTAAAAAATGACAATATTATAAGGTTAATTTTCATGACAGATTCCTTACATTGAAGCCTGAAGAAAGAAAGTTTATATAGTTTTCTTCTATTAACTTCGTTTTTAGAGAAAAGTGGTGCTTGAGCCAATTGACAGTTTTCTTGAGGAGGGCTTAAATTTCATTCATTTAATCACCAAGTCAAATATTTTTGACTTTCTGCTATACTTCTATCCCTCAGACATTAGGTTCTATTTTGGAGGTATCCTAATTTAAATCTCACACGAACCAATATATATATCTGCTATAATATATATTTAGCTATTATATATAGCTATACAGAGGGAATACATAAATAATAGCTATCATATATATAACTATTATATAGAAACAACAATATATATACACATGTACATACGTATATATATACATGTAGCAATTTGAGGATGTATATATGAAAACATTGTTACCCCTTATCACTTCTGAAAGACAATTAAAAAATTATTTGTATTGTCTAAAGACAGAGAGAGGTAGAGAGAGAGAGAGATGTTGATTTGTTGTTCCACTTATTTACGCATTCATTTGTTGATTCTTGCTTGTACTCTGACTGGGGGATCAAACCTGCAACCTTGGTGTGTCTGGATGATGCTTTAACCAACTGAGCTACCTGGCCAGAGCCAGGGAAAATTTTTGATACAACTGTAGCAATATGTATTTAAGTTCCATACATTGAATATTTGATAGATTAGTTCTATCCTGGTTTATTCTTGAAAGTTGTAATCATGTGAAGAACCAAAGAATGTGGAGAGGGAGAAGGCTCGGGAAATTCTTAATTTCCCATTAAAAGAAACTGAGAAATGTACCAGTAAGCCTGGGGTTAGCAAGATTAGGGGCCCCGCTCCCAAATAGTCCTCTATGGAATCAGAATCAGTGGCAGTCCACCCTCACACCCAGGAGATGCTGATTCAGCAAAGATTGCGCTTCTTACGCTTTTTTTTTTCAATAAGCCCTACAGTTAATTTTTATGTAATGCCAAATTTTGAGAACCACTGTAGCAGACATAGAGGACACTTTCAGTTGTTTATGTGGATTTTCCTTTCATTCAGAGTGGGAATACCGTTGAGGTGTTCCTGTGCTAATGATTGTTTTCCAAATTTTTACTCTACTGAGGTACATCACAGAAAGGTAAATAGTACAAATTAACTAAGAACTTTTCTGATCCCGAAACTAAAGCTACCTGGTGAAATTCTGGAGTGTTTCCACAGGTCAAAGAGCATTGACTTATCCTCTGCCATGACTGTGTTAAAAGATTGTCCTTGTGCCACTTGTTAAAGAATACAGGTGGTCAGAGGGAAGGCATTGCAGCTGTTCTTTCAAAATCAATATTATGCTAACATCCATGGGTCAGCAGAGTTGCAAAATTTGCTTTAAAAATCTAGTGATATTTACTTCAGAGATAATCATCAAAGTTCTGATGACATGTCATGGTCTTTGAATCCTGACAAATTTTGATGCCAATTTGTCTCTGATACTTGCTAAAAGTATGGACTTATTTAAACTTTCTGAGCATCAATATCCTCCTCTATAAAGTAGGAAGACAACACTTGGGGTAGGATTAAATAATGTCTGTACAGAGGTTTACACTGTACCTGGTACATTATAGATTCAATACCTCATACCTAATAAGAGTCACTGTATGAAATTTGCATATTATAAATACCTAAAGCAATTGATTTATATCAAATGGACAAAAATCTTTTTTCTTGAGCTTTTTAAAACTCATGGCTAATCACAAGTAGAATTACCTTTACTTTCAGCCTCTTCTCTGAATTTATTTTGCCTTACCAAATTGCTCTAAATTGAACCTGGTCCTTCTCCATGCTGCGTCATTGCTCTGTACCAGATGGAGTGGTTTCCAATTTGCCTGTCTATTTTCACACCCTCTGTCCTCAGAATCCACAGTTTTGAATCTTGTATCAAAAGATTCTATCACTTATCCTTCTGCTGGAATTTTCTACCAATCCTTAAGTCACTTATTCTATGATTGTTTTAGCTCTTGGTTCAAAGCCAATCTACTAAAAATAGTACTGCTGTAATAATTATTGATTTCAATGATCATGAAGAAAATCCCTATAATTTTGGGCCTTCTTTGACTTGGCCACCGACTGGCAGTGACCTGGGAACACTGCAGATGGCTTGTCAAGACACGAGAAAAACATGCACAGAGACAACCAAGTCCTGTGGTTCCCCATAGGAACGAAACGGCCACTCTCTCTCTAGTGGGGAGTGCCATGGCCACCGTTCCCAGGGGTGAGCACCCTGTTCTTCAGCCCGAGCAGGCTTTTTATTGGGTTCCTTTACATAAGCATTCAGGTAAAGCTCATTAATCATTGCCAGGAAGTAAGGATCAAACAATAGATAACAAGGAACTCTGAGGGCCTATTTTGAGTCAGGGTCAGACAGCTAAAGAGCTGTAAAACTCTGAGGAACAAACTTACTTCTTGCTTGGACCCTTATCATTTCATTGAGAGCATTCTAAACAAAGCAGGTTTCACAGGATTTTACATATTCTTTCTTTGGCCTGATTGCCCAGGGAATCTGCCCTTTCCAGCACAGGGCTGCACCACCCTCTGTCATTGTTTCAGGCTTAGGTGGAGCAAGGGAAGTAAGGCAGCCAAGAGATTGGGAGATTTTCTCGCAGACAATGAGGACTCAGGCTATGTCAAAGCCGAGGGGCGAGGGTCCATCACCCCCTTTTGCTGTAGCCTCCAAAGTCCTTCCTTGGGGGCCTCCCACATGATCGTGCCTGTCTTAGGTCATTCCCCCCTTGGGGAATCTTACCCATCATTGGCTAACTGACCAAGCATTGGGGGCCAGGCAGGGTGAAGTAAAAGGAGCAGAAGTGGTACTCCTGCCAGGGAGATAAGCTTTTGTCTCCTTGGTGGCTTATGGTCCAAGGTCATTCCCTCAGCCTTAGTGGGGGGTTACAGCTTCTGAAAACAGGCAGGGCGGTTCCCAACACTTCTTAGTTTTTTTTAACCTTCTCCAACAGTCTTGCTTCTGCTCACTCCAGTGGAGATATCCTAGACCTGTCATGCCCAAAACTATCACTTCTCCATAGTATCACTTTTGGATTAGATTGCCACTATCTTCCAGCTCACAACCAAGCTGCCGTGGACCAGGATCTATAATCTACTAACTGATTCTATCAGGGATTTCCCTGTTCCTTATTTTGTGTCCTAATTTCCCTCCACATCTGGGTTTATTTAATGGTCATGGTAATCACTTTCTTCCATATACTTTTCAAGTCATATATGACCCTTGCATTGTTATAATTGCTTGACAAAACTAGAGCCTCGATTAAATCCAGCTCTTAGACTATTCTATCCATTCATCCATGCTGATGAATGTAATTGAAGAAAAACCCTCAACCATGTTGACTTCAAATTTATGATCATGAAGCTCACAGGGGCCCTCTGCTTTGCCTAGCTAGGTATCGTGTTGCATTTTCCTTATCAAAGTCATCTTACTTTCCGAGCAACAATTTTTTGTCTTCAGCTCTTTCATCCAAATTGTAAGTCATCCTTTCCTGTCTCCACCTTCAGCTGATGACTATTTCACTAACAAAACCAGAAGAACAGCATTTCCAAAAGCTTCTTTCACATCTATCTACCTAGTGCTCAGCACCATACATTGGGCCCGGATGACCTGCCCATTCTCTAGCCAGGGCCCGCCACCACTTTTGCACCAGGTTGCCTCCTCTCCTGTGTTCCCAAGGGCATCCACTTGCCCTTTCTAAAGGAATGTTCCCATCAGCATGGAAACATGCTATCACTCTCCCATTTCAAAAATCCCTCTTTTGATTCCATTTCCTTTCTAAGCATTGTCCTGTTTCTCTGTTATCTTTTGCAGAAACAAACACATCCCTCTTAAAGACTTACCCATTATAATTGTGTCCATTAGTTTCTTCACATTCTTTCTTGAGTATGCTTCAATCAAGTTGTGGCCCCCAGCTCTTCACTGAAACAACTCTTGTCTAAGTCATAAATTACCTAAATGCTATCTGTAATGGTCTTCAGCTGACTTGAACTACTCACAGCATTTTTCAGAGATGATTATTTCTTCCTCCAGGGGAAATACTTTCCAGGACACCATTCTGTGTGGTTTTCCCCTTAAGTCACTGGCTTCTCCATCTCTACCTCACTTACTAAATCCTTTCTATATCTTTGGCCTCTTAATTGGAGTGTCTTGGGATTGAACTCCCACTTATTACAAGACAATTTTATGAGTTAGTGCTGCTTATTCTATTGCAAATTCAGAATTCCACCACTGTACTTTGATGCTCTGATCTATTTTCATGTATACCACTAATATGTTGATAGGCTCCAAAATGTTTATCTCTGGCCAGGACTCTCCTGGGGAGCTCTAGAATTTTCCCATTGTCTGAGCACCATCTTCCTTTAGACATGCAATAAGCATCTCATACACAACATTTTCCAAGCTATTCTCCTTATCTTTCCTTCCCAAACCTCTTCTCCTATATTCCCATTTCAGTACATTGTAATTTTATATTTCTAGTCTCTCTCTCTCACACACACACACACACACACACACACAATATTGGAATTGT